ACTCTGGGAAAGCATGTTTTGTCATCTTTTTTCCAACAACAGCAGCCTTCGTTGACTCTTGATTTATGGTTTTATATTTAAAAATCTATAAATTCATATCTAAAGTTAAACAATAACCCACTGCAGGTGCATATGTGCATTCTGGGTGAAACTTATGTAAGCTAGAGAATTAATGAGCATTTGCGGGAGAGAATTTAACTTGTGACATACAGGACCAGACCCAGGGCTATAATTCTACATGCCATCAAATAGATAGATAGATACATGCCACCAGATAGATCAGTAGCCAGAGCTTGGAAATCATGTGGTAGAAATAATGGGCACAATTATTAGGTGCTTCATAACAACCCCCACCCCCACCCCACACGCTCTTTTTAAAATGCATGGTGGGTCAAGGTTGAGAGCAAGCAACTACTTAAAATGAAAACTGAACCTGCATTGGTGAATGTGCTGGCCCACCACAACATTTGTTAAAAAACGTATCTTTTGAAATGATGTTGGTTTATTGGGTTAATGCACTAGCCTTGTTCTTAAGCATTACTGGGTTTAAATCCTTGTTTATGATTTTAATTTAAATGATTTCAGTGGTTTTCTCTTGATCAATAGTGCAAAATTGTTCAATTTGAAGTACAACACAATATATTACATACAATACAATATGATGCCAGTCCTTACTCCTTACGCTGGAAGGGCACTGGATGCTAATTTGAAAATGAGATGTACCAAGAGATGATGTAAAGTTGGAGAGGGGGGGTGGAGAAATCCCTTAACCATTTTTTTGTTGTTAGTAAGGTATTTTGAGTTTACAAGCCTCTTAAAAATTTATTATTTTTCAGTTTAACAAAATTAAAATGTATGTCTATGGCTTGGTCGGCTCAGAACAGACCAAAGAGTATTTTCTCTCTGACTGGCAAAATTACTAGCAGTATGGGAACAAAATAAGAATCGCTTTTCTCTCTTTGTGGCTCTTCCTTCACTGTAACCAGGCTCTCTGTTGGAATACCACCCTGCTGCTGGAAAGATGCAGGAGGATGACCCATGTGGCCCATTTGCACGTCATCTTCTTTGCATCACTGAACATGCAAAGAAGTAAAAAAGTTCCAGAGAACCCTAACATTAAAAAAAGAACTTCAAAAAGTATGTTTCCTGTAGCAGCTTTCCACCCTTTGCTGCTATGGTACATTGTATTCATATTGTGAGAACTCCTGCTATTGGGACAGCCTTGGCTTCCTCCAGAGCAGTGGTTCTGAACCTATTTACCATTGTGGGCCGCATCCAATACTACCTGTATGGCCCTGAGGATGTCACATGGGCTGCAGCTCTGTGCTGATTGGGCCGCAGGTTGAGAATCACTGCTCCAGAGATAGCACTTGGCAGGCACTCTTCAGAACTCAGTCAGAAGAAAGGAAAAAAACAGCTTACCTGATGGAACAGTCCCTCCAGCTAAAGCAGTAGTGAGAGGATGAACCATAGTGGAAGCAGAGGTCAGATTGCATGTGGGGAAAAATGTCGTGAGCTCTATTCACAACATGAGTTCTCTCCAAATGATATGCTGCTCACGGTAGACTGCAGAGGTTCAAAATATGATCATGCATTCTCTGGTCTCCTTGAACTCAGCTCCTTCTCAGAGGATTCTGAATATACCTTGGGCTCTGCTAGACCCCTTATGCTTGGCTTACCTGCAGTGAGACTTCTGTGTCTGTGAGGCTTTGGCTCTTTCTTGATAATGGGAGGAAGTGTCAGTACTCTCCCAAACCCTGTCATTTGTGGTGACAAAATGGGCTGTCATAATAGATTATGCAGCTCTTCATAATATGCTCCTCCCTCACCACCTTATGTGCTTTGAAGATCAGTGAAATGTTAACAAAATTGACATTTAAAATGTTATCATTGGGCACCTTAGTTAGCATCCTTTGAAATGAATGAGGTAGGTCACACTTCGAGAACTATTGTTCCAAGTTTTGCAAACATTTGCAAAAGTGACTATTTCGGTTCATGTCTTTGAGGCTGTCTCAGCAAGGTAGCAGCTAGAGTTGTTTTATTTATTTAAAATGAAAGCCTAGATTCTGGAGGACAAAAAAGCATAAAAGATGCGCTGATGCACTTCACCGCTGATCAGCTCAATCTGAGCCCCAGGTGGAAGGGAGTGAAGGTTCCTAACCCTCTGCTCTTTTCTCTGCTCTGCTTATGTGAGTAAATGAATATTGTTTAGTGTGCCAATCTAAACAAGGTTCCTTTTGTTCTCCACCAAGGAAAAGTCCCAAAGAAGTGTTACCCCAATTGTTTTTCTTTTTATGATTTTCCAGAGTCTTGGGTTTATTCCTTTGATAAACCATTCAGTTACAGCCAACTATATAATGCTGCAGCCCCTACTCCTCTCTTCTTATCTAGATTGCTCAGTTCTTCCTTCGCAGGAAGAAAAAGCCTGGATTTACCTGCTGAGAAATGTTTGTTCTGCAATGCAGTTTGGAAGCTTAGTGGAGAAGATAGACCAAAAGGTCTTCCAGAATTTCTGCTTAAAGGACAAGAAAAGGGGTTCTCAATGTTCACTCTTTAGCTCTCAGGGCTATGGAAACAGCCTGTCCCACCTGGGATCCTAAATCGGCATTCTAGTTCTACAGGCTCCCAGAGTAATTTTCTGATAAGTGGCTTTCTTCCATAAGGTGAACTTAACTCTTTTCTGTTTGACCTCCTAAAAAACCTAATGCTTCTTTTAGGGGTCCCCTGTAGAAATAAGTTTACAAGGAACTATCAAGAAAAGTTTTAATTTGTTGCCTACTGCTGTTAGGTTTTCAGATCAGCCATATCTGCTCAAATAGTCTGAAATGCATCAGGATCCAGAATTCTCTGCTTTTTCACATTAAGAAAGTTTGAAGGAATTTCTGAATTAGTCTGTAGGAACTAACAGTTGTAATATGAGTTGGGTGTCTTCTGTGTGTGTGTAGCTGCTAATTTAGCAACTTTTGCAGAGCATTGTGGATCAGGCTGTTAGGAAGGAACATTCCCTCCTTGCCTGGCATGTTACCCCTGTTGTGTGTGTGGGGTTTTTTTTGGAGAATTTTGAGGCATTACTTCTAACAGTTCAGATATCCAGGTAACTCTGCTTCTTACATCATCTCATGCCAAGAACCCTGAACTTTTCACTTCAGGAATGCATTGTGATTGCTCACCCCTTGACTGAAAGAGTTGGCCTGTTGAATTCTTAACAAAGATGTCCAATTATTTTTAAGCAAAAAAAGAAAAAGAAAGAAACGACAAACCCTTTCAGCTCATATTTATACACCAGAAAGAAACGAAGATGAGCACAAGACCTTTAAAAAAAAATTTGGGGGGTTACTTTTAAAATTTCTCTGTGGGAACAGAGCCTTTACAAAGGTTGATTTACTGTTTATCCATTTTAAAGGATTCAGATGGCCTTGAAGCTTCCTGATATGCCACTGTGCTTAAAGAATTGTATACAAGAATCACAGCAGCAGTGTCCTTCCTGATCGGGATCACAGAATATGCCGACTGGGCTGTAGTTTCTTCCTTGACAGATAGAGGTGAAGCCTCATTAGATAAACTGTGCTGGTCTGCCACCTTGATCAGGCATTGGTGACTGCTGCATTTGGCTGAGAAAGGTTTGGAGATAGCCCTCCTTTGAGGTTTCTCTTTTAAGGGAAGAAATTATTGGGATCATAGTTGGTGTCTTCCCAGTCAGATTAACCTCTGCATTCTGAGAGTCCCGTCAGATACTGTTGTTTAGAACACTGTTCTCTATTCTGATCAAAGTCACAGAAAAACAAACTAACAGTTAACTCTATGTGTGACTGAGCTGATTAATACACCAACTCAGCCTGATGGACATTATCCTATGAGGTTTAGAAAAAGGAAGTTCCTCTTAGGGATGAGGAATGCAGGCTAACCTTCATTCTTTCACATAAAGATTGTCTCAAACTGGGGAGTAAAGAATGCGCAAAGGAGGAGCAATGAAGGGGAAACTTTTCAAGGATGGAAAAATGATAGATTTGTGGTTGAATCACAGGATTGGGAATCAGGAGACTTGAAGTATGTGCTCCAGCTCTGCCACAGACTTCCTGCATGGCCTTGGACAAGTAATTTAATTTCTTGTCCCTTAGTTTTCCAATCTGCAAAATAATTGTGATAACACATCCCTAACTCACAGGGAACTTTAATATATGTGAGATGTTCAGATAATGTGGCGATGTGTTATAGTAAAGTTCATTAATAAATGTTTGATTTGGTTGGTTGCCATCTTTCCTATTGTTGCAACCAGAGAGGGAGAAAACACTATGGTCTATTTTGCAAGATCAAGTCACAAAAAATGAACGATCAGGTAAGAGAATAAACAATTTTGGCTTTTCCGATCTGAGATATGTGAAGAGTTTCAGGCTGTAAAGAATTTTCAGTGCTGAGTTTCAAATACCTGGGGGGAAAATGGGTTGCAACAGACACAGAGAAGACTTCATATGCAGCTGTGTTTTTTGAGAACCGGAGGCATGCCAGTGGTTTTTCCTATGATCAGTTGTTGGCCTGTCCTTCAGTTAGCTGGGAAAAAGTCTCTCATTTATGCTTGCTTCAGTAAAATCATAGTTTTTTTTATAAAATCCTTGCAGCTACTGCTCTCATTGAGTTTCCTGCATTTGTTGTGGAGGAAAACAGCTGTTATAAGTTGATGTCACTTTGTTCGTGCAGTATATTCAGGAGTAAACTGATAAAATTTATTCTTTTGTTTCAGGGTGGTGGTATTCCATAAAGCTGTTTTGTTCAGTAAATGGAGATTTTTTTTCCCTAATTTTGCTTATGTTTGATGTTTTAATGCAGTTTTTTATTCCAAAACTTTCATTTGCTTTTTTTTATGTGCATGCAACATGATATATCAAGATATCTCAATAACTGGACTTTTTAAATAGCACATTGTAATCTCAGATTTTCTAAGTGAGCATATAATAGAATGTAACTTGTATTTTTAATGTTTGTTTTTGTTTCTTTTGTTGCAGTCGAAATCAGCTTTCTTCTTTGCCAGCTTGCCTGTGTGGTCTTCCTCTAAAAGTCTTAATTGCAAGTAACAATAAGCTAGGTTCCCTTCCAGAAGAGATAGGTCAGCTAAAACAGTTAATGGAACTGGTATGTTACTGATTTGGATGTTTGTTTTTTGTTTATTTTATTACTAGTTAAGGTGTAATCAACTTTGTAAAGAACTTCCTGCCAAAGCCTAATGATACAGTAATCACTGTTACACAGTCAATGCTCCTTAGTATGTGGTGAACTTTTTAATTGCATCAGATAGCACAAAGTTACAGTGTAACTGTCTCCTTTCCAGGCTCCCTAACATCCACACTCTCTTTGGGTTCATATAAAACACATCAGTAAAGATCATCTTGCCTACTTGTTGTTGTTCTCACTGCATGACCAAATCACTCCTCTGTTCAAATCCCTCTACTGGCTCCCTGTTTTGCTGCAATGAGTTCAAGTTTCTTGTTCTGGCCTCAAAGTCCCTTCCTAGCTCTGCACCTCTCAGCTTATCTTTTTTTCTTTTCTTACCTCATTGTGTTTTACAAATTATGCTCATCTTTTCAGTCCCTTTTAGTTTCTCTCTCAAATATTTCCAAGCTGTCCATTATGCATGGAACGTCTTCTCTAAAGTGATCCATATGGCCACTGTCCTCTTTCCGCAAAACCTACCCCTTCAGTAATGGCTATAAGAAATCAGCCAGTTATTGAGGGCAGGAATTAGATGGCACTTCATAATTTTTTTTAAAATTGCAAATGTTTATGAAAATTTTATCTGTAAAAGCCTGTGTATATTTTAATGTTTTCTCCTCCCTCACTTTCTTCCCCTTCATATGACACCTTGTTTATTAGAGTGTAAGCTGTTTTGGACTGTCTTCTGCTTATTTCTGATCACCTAACCCTTTTGAGAATAGCCATTAGTAAATGAACCAGTTACTCTGGCATTGCTTCTGAATGCCCAGTAGAAATTATATTACAAAATTTTTCTGGCTGGTAATGTCACTACCTATTGCTTCTATCTTGGGTATTTCTAAGGTGTCTGTCGTGGTGTCAGAAAGTGTCTGCTCACCCATCTTATTTATTAAATAATATTTCCTATACTTAAAGCCTGAACCTGTTACATGGTGTTGAGTTAACTTTGGCCCCAGTCCTGCAACTGACTGTCCCTCCGTGGAACTAGTTGCAAGATTGGGGTGTTTAAATAGTAGCTGAGAGTATTCAGCAGCTCTCAGAATTAGGCCCTTACAACTATAGTTGGGCTAACTGTAGTTGGATACTTTTATTTTTTCTTTCTCTCCCTTGGGATGTACGGGGTCTTTATAATGGCCTAAAGGATGTTTAATATTTTTCTTTTTTGTGAAATGTGCACTTTATTGGTTTTTCATACTTTGTCATATTTATAATGACTTCTTAATGAAAATAAAGCTATCAAATTAAAACACAAACAAAAACAATCTCACTACTTTAAAATGAAACTGCTAGTTATAGTGATGGTTTATTTTATGCTTAATCTATTAGTGGATTTATTTTATTAAGTTTTTATTTGCAAGTACAATTCAGGAATATTAAACATCTCTCTTTTAGGGGACAGAATGACTAGGTGGATTATTAATGGGATTTGAATCTTGTCAACTCTTGGTCACTGCTGGTTTGAATGTGGCATTACTTAGCAATGAATAAACATCCTTGCCATCTAATGGCTGTTTCGGGGTCTCTCTGAAATAAGTTGGTGGTGCCAGTCCATTTCTCGTTGGACTGCGTTTCATATTTTAGTTGACACTAAGTGGCATCCTTGATAGCAATTTCAGTGAAGAACTACTGAAATACCTTCCCATCCTACTAGTCCATCGAGAACAGGTTGAAACACACTGACAGGGTAGTTTAGCACTATCCATGCAGTTACTGTTCCATGGAGGGTTGCCAGGTGTCCAGTTTTTTACTGGAATGCCCAGTCAAAAAGGGACCTTGGTGGCTCCGGTCAGCACTGCTGACCGGGCTGTTAAAAGACCAGTGTTCCGCGTTGTTTCTGGGAAGCAGCCGTCATGTCCCTCTGGCTCGGAATTGCAGCCAATGGGAGCTATGGGGGTGGCTCCTGGGGGCAGGGGCAGCACGCAGAGCCACCTGACCACCCTTCCACCTAGGAGCAGGAGGGACGTGATGCCGCTTCCTGGGAGCCACCTGAGGTAAGCGCCTCCCAGAGTCCGCACTCCTCACCCCCTCCTGCACCCAAACTGCCATAATTAAGCATTTACATTTTAGAACATACAGTTTAAAAGGTAAAGTCTCCCTCTTGCAGAAAAATTGCCCAGAGCCCATTCCTGCACCCCAAACCCCTTGTCCCCAGCCCCACCCTTGAGCCCGCACCCCCAGCTGAAGCCCTCACTCCCTCCTACACCCCAACCTCCTGCCCCAGCATGAAGCCCCCTCTCGCACCCTGAAATCCTCAGCCTGGAGCCCCCTCCTGCACCCTAAACCCCTCATTCCCGGCCCCACCCCAGAGCCCGCACCCCCAGCCAGAGCCCTCACCCCTTCCCACTCCCACTCCCCCATCCCTAGCCTGGAGCCCCCGCCCACACTCCAAACCCCTCGGCCCCACTCCACAGCCCAGAGCCCCCTCCTGCACCTCATACCCTTCTTTCCCAGTCCCACCCCAGAGCCTGTCCCCTCCGCTGGAACCCTCACCCCCTCCCACAACCCAGCCCCCTGCCCCAGCCCGGAGAAAATGAGCGAGCGAGCGAGGGTGGGGGAGAGTGAGCGATGGAGGGAGGGAGGATGGAGTTAGAGGGGGTGGGATTTTGGAGGAGGAGTGGGGCAAGGGCGGGGCATCGGGAAGGGACGGGGCAGTTCAGTTTTCTGCAATTAGAAAGTTGGCAACCCTAGTTCCATGGGTAAACAGAGAATTTGCATTTAATAAGAATAAAAGCCCCGCTTCTGATTTAGCTTTTAAAAATTAAAAGCAAAATTATTTAAGAGCTTCAAAAGAAATACTAATTGTGCTCAGGAGGAGGCAGGACTCTTTGGATTTTTGGTTTGGTTTGGTCTTTTGTACTACCACTGTTTCAAAAGACAGCAGATTTGACTGATTCTGCTGCTTCCCAGTCCAAGTATTATATCAGTGTCACTCTTTGGAGGCACCAAGAAAATGTAAAAATTACTTTTCTAAAAATAATTGCAAAACAACATTGACTTGTATTGTAGCACATATCACTTTGGTTAGAATCTGACTGGAACAAGAGGGTAGAAAAACTTGTGTCAAAGCTGAAAGTATGACTCATCTTTTTCTCTGTGTTCTATATGGTTACAAAATAGCATGTTAACATAACAAGTTTTGTTAAATTTGTGAATAATTCAGTTCTGATGACATACTCCCCTTACGTTGATGAACACTAATTATTTATGTAACTATTCAGATTGCATTGTTTGCTTGGAAATTGCTAACTTATGACGTATTGGATGGGGTAAAGAGGAATATAAATTAAAGCATATTGATAAATAGTGCTACGGTATATGATTCAGAGACTTTATATGGATGGGTTGCCACAGATTAAGCTAGGTCTCAGAACCCAAATAAAAGCATTTACCAGTAAAATGTTTCTGTTGCTATTGTACTATACCATTTTATAGAAATTTAACATTTTCCCCATTTAACTGCACCCAGATTATAGTAAATACATTTCATAGAGCAAATTGTATTTGTTGTGTATTCTTTTTAGTCTCTGAAGTGAAACATTGAAATGTTTTTAATTTCTATTTAGATGCTACCACTTTAGTGAACATTCAGATTAATTTTAAGTATTGGTTAGGAAAATAACTTTCCTGTGGTTGTTGTAATTAATTACAATTCAGTTGTTCAGTTATTTTCCTTGCATTCTCTATGGTCTCAGATGGCATGAGCTCTAAGAGAACTGGCTTCTTTATTAAGACGTTAACTCATGACTGAATCATGATTTTGAGATGAATGTGCAGGATGAAATTCACTTTAATGTTGACTGCTCGCATAAACTCATATGTGCCCATTACACCAGTTCAGACCTAATTTAAGGATTTATTTGGTCTTTGGCAGTATGGTGAATTTCACCCTTTGAGAACACATAGCAACCAATATTTTAAGCAAATTTAAAATGTTTTAATAGGCAGTGAACAAAAGATTTAATCAGATGACATATTTAGTGGCATACTACTGATTATTTGAATAATCTGAAAGACACCTGGAATGTTCTTCAATGGATGTCAGTAGAACTGGTGAAAGTCTTAACAAAGCAAAAATTTTGCTTTTGAAATATAATTTTCTGTGACTAACCCTTAAAATAAAAAGTATTAAAGTAAAAATGGATATCTTTACCACCACCACCATTTGTTTAATTATGGTTAAACTACTAACCGAATTCTTATCCTTGCTTGGGCCATCTATTGGAATAAACTTGTATTAACATTTATAAGAATAATTTCGAACGAAATCCAAAATGGATGGAACCACATTGTAGTTGTATTTTCTACTAATTTGTAACCATTAAAATTTAAAGATATTGAGTGAAATTAATCTTGTTCCTGTGTACCAGAAGGATTTCATAATCCTTTGAGTTCTTTTAAAATCAAGTTGAATCTGTTTCAATCAGCTGGCTGTGGTTCTGCTCTGAAAAGTGACTCAGTAAAACAACATTGTCGAGTTCCATGATATTTTGTTTGTCTCAGTTATTTCATATTAAATGTCCAGTTTATAAGTAAATATTTTTTCCTGTTGGCAATGTTGCAAACTCAACTCTGAGATCTAAAAGTCAATCTGGATTCTTTTCTTTTTATGTATAATCACCAGAAATAAAGTTTCTGAAGACTAAATTCTGTCCTCATTTATAGTTGGAGAAACAAATTGTCTTCAGAAGGGTAATGAAGATGTAACTGCAACTGTTGTGTGCTGCAACTGAAATATAGTTGAATAAGGCTGCTTGAGCCAGAATTGAATCCAGCTCCCCCTTCCTTGTCTGAATTGGTTCTAATAATGAGTAAAAAGCAAAACCAAATGTTTTTAATGGCAAGGTAACTAGGTATGCACCAGACTGGAAATTCTGTAAGCACCTTAGGTACATTAAATACAAAGTTTTAAAATTTAAATATGAAAATGAATAATAAAATCAACACTGTTTTTCTTTTGTTTCAATAAAATAATTGATTTGGTAGCTAATGGGAAAATATGTAACTCTTGACAAATCATCCAGTGGGTCAACAGCCAGATGATTTATTTTACTTGCTATCAGTGCTCAAAGTGCACACACAATTTTTTGCAGTAGTTGGGATTGAGATGGTGGAAACCCTCCAGCAGGTCCAAATGTATGTAGTAGTTTTGAAAAGTGAGATGGACACAGAAGCTTTAGAGTTAAATCTGCATTGAAATTATTATAGATAGTTTACACCTGTCCTAAAGGGTGAATCCTCTCCATGACCGTGAAGAGATGCCTGTTAACGGCATTACTGTGGTTCTGCTGCTGAGGAGATGTGGCCCATGTATGGAAATGTGCATCCCTTCAGTGCCAAGGAGCTAAGCTGCATGATGGCAACCTGCATGCTGCTGTAGAGCAGGACTTAGGAGGTAGTGCTAGTGTACAACTCTATGCTACTGTAAAAACTGAGTATTTAAAACTCTTAACTTCAGACTTTCGATAGTGCTAACAGCACTAACTTGTTTGCACACTATTTGACCTCCAAATTCCACTTGCCATAGAAATTTACTTAAATTGACTATTGTTCTCCAATCTTATTTGAGAGAGTTTGTCCATGTTGTCAAACAGGGAGACAACTGATAAGAATAAAATGGAATTATTAGAAGAAATCTGACCTTCATCAAATATTAACCTTTGGAATTTGAAAAGGCATTTGGAGTACATTATTTTAATTGTCTGCAGATGTCCTTGAAGCCAAGATGCAAAACAAAAGCAGGGTAATGTATTACATACTGGAATTAGGAGAAGTACGCTGCTCTTGATTTGTCATACGTACCCAACCAGAAAGTAAAAAATGTTGTATGCAGTGTTTAGTTGGATAAAAGATACTGTTGTCTCTGGATATCTTGTGACTATGAACTGAAGAGATGAGTTTTATTCTTGGATTTCTTAAAAGGTCACCAGCAGACTTTGTCCTTGCAGCTACTAACAACCATAAAATTATTATACTTCCTTAAAAAATATCTTACACCCTGAAACCAAAGTCAGTTTTATTAAAGATTCATACACACATAGAAATATGCTTCTAGACACATCCTTACCATACAATTTTTCTGCAAGAGGGGCACTTTACCTTTTAACTGTATGTTCTAAAAAGTAAATGCTTAATTATGAACTTGTTTCAAGTCTTTAGATTAAAATTAGGGCAGTAAATCCCTAAAAATATTTGGACTAAGAACAATGCAATTAACCATACTTTACCGTAGTTTGGACAAGAGAGGGTTTCCAGTGCATTCATTAACAAGGATTTTTTAATTTTCTTGTCTAAAACCTAAAACAATTCCCTGGCTCTGTTTTGAGAAGGGAAGGAAGTTTTGGCTGCAGTGGGATCCTGATAAGGAGACTTTTATCTCTCTGATACCCAATCCAGTATTGTCAAATAGAGCTTCCGTTTTCTCACTAATTATTCTTTGAAGAAATTCTTGATTTGGAAATGGCATTGACATAATATCTTTGAATAGTATTAGAGAAACTCCCTTCAAAGGGCTAAATTTGAAACCCGATTTGGGGAACTGCAGAATCTTATTTCTCATGGGTATTGAGCAACTTTGCCACTCGAAACAATAACCGTAATAGTAGGAGTTAATGTCCTTAAGAAATTCCCTTGTCTCTTTAGGAAAAAGTGTTATCTCTACGTAAATCATACTCTTGGAGATACAGTGTCTGCTTACTTTTGTTGATCTCCCTATTATACAGCACATGAAACCTTGCAGGACCATTCTAGTCAAACGACAATGCATCACAGGTTAGGCAAAAGGTTCAGCGTTCTTTTCAGTGTCATGTTGACTACATACTGATGTGTTTGGTAGTATAAGCTAAAGCCTGTAAGTTAGTTTGATCTTGTTTTAAAATGCCCTGATTACAAGAGTTGATCTTGATTACTGATTTTAGGCTTTTCAGAGTCTTGATTAATGCATCAACAGTATTAGTATTATTAATGCATTTATTTTATATATGTATTACTAGTATTAATGCATTTCCTACTTTCCATTGTACCTTGTGTTGGATCAACTCCATCTTGTACTGCATCTTAACTTTACAAATCTAACTTTCTAGCAATTGTTCTTTTAGAAATTGTGAGCTGAAAAGAAGCTGCATCTTGGTCCAGGTTGTTAAAACCTGAGATGAGGGGCCTAATTCAGCCCTCTATAAATTAGCCATTGGGGCATTGAAATGTACAGGAATTTTTCTTTCTGTACCTTTGTAAATTTCAACAACCTCCCAGATCACAGGAACAAAGCACACAGCACTCAGGGTTTGGCTACACTTGCGAGTTACAGCGCAATAAAGGAGCCCCCGGGCGCACTAGCTCACTACCCGTTTACACTGGCAAGGCACGTAGAACGCTCTGACTCCGCGGCTACAGCGCTGCTGGTACTCCACCTCGGTGAGTGGAATAACGTTTGCTGCGCCCTCGCTGGAGCGCCGCAGCGCCAGTGTGAACGAGGTGTTACATTACTGATCAGCCTCCAGAAACGTCCCATAATCCCCTTAAGTCAAGTGGCTACTCTTGTCATTGTTTTTGAATCGCTGCAGGAATGCAGATATGCCATTTGAAGTTCCGTTTCTGACAGCCAGCTGCTTATCTGCTCCGAGACAAAGCAAGCCATTGGTGTGGGATGCTGTGTGTGAGAGAGAGAGAGGCGGGGCGTGGGTGGAGGGGCGTCTGCTGCTGTCTGAACTTACAAGACAGCATGCTGACATGCTCTCAGCCCGCCCAAAACCCACTCTCTCTCTCCCCCCACATACACACAAGACAATCCCTGTCACACTCCACCCCAACCCACCTGTTTGAAAAGTATGTTGCAGTCACGTGCATGCTGGGATAATTGCCCAGAATGCACCACTTCCCATGCTGCTGCAAGTGTCATAATATGGCCACGCCAGAGCGCTTGAAGCTGTCAGTATAGACAGACTGCAGCACTTTCCCTATGGCACTCTCCGAAGGCTGGTTTAACTCAAAGCGCTCTACATCTGCAAGTGTAGCCATGCCCTCAGTATAGAGGGACATGCACACCTGTCATTGCGAATTAACCAATGGAGTGCTCTCTGTTCTAAGTGTTTGGAAGTCTGTACTTTGGAGAACTTACAGACATTCTGAGTTCACAGAGTACTCTGATTAAAAGTATTTATATTTTTAGATGTGGTTAACTTGGGACCACTTAACCAAGAAAATAGGGTAAAGCACCTGTATGATTTAGGAGTCTAAATTCCTTTGCCTTTCAATGAGACGTATGCTTTTAAGTCACTTACATGCTTTTGAAACTTTTTACCTAATACTCTTTTAACAACCTCTATATTTCCCATCAAATAAATGATATTTTTTTTATAAAAGAGGAGAGTTGTTTCCCACCATCTTAAATTTGTACTGTCACATTGAATTGCCAGTTCTCCTTCTCTCTCTTTCAAAGAGGTGACTTTTGTAAGGGGAGACTATTTCTCCTTCTGTAGAGTTTAAAGTATGAATTACATACCTAGCAGTAATTGTGAGCCCCTTCCTATACCCAGTTCTTAAACTAGTGCGTAAAAATAACTGCAATTGTGTTATGTTTTTGTGTTGCTATCATTTTGGTTTTAAAAAAGGAAAAATCTCTAAATCAATTTTTTTTAAATTGAAACCCAACTTCTAATATATCTCCACCAAACCTCCCCGCAAGTAATCTATTTTAGAGTCCCATCAAAAGAGAGCCAGCTGATTTTAGAAAATTGTTCATTTCCTATCAGTGTTCTGTGTCAGCCGCCCCCCCCCCCCCCCCAGATTGCAAAGTCCTTCAGAAATGTACTGGAAAGTCAAAAACAGATGTAGAAAAATGAACAAGGAGCCCAAATGGCAGTCTGCATAACTTCACTAAGCAAATCTAAGTAAATGCTGTATTTTGGTTTTATGTGATGTGACACCTATCACATGGCTAGTTTTTCAGTGCAAAGATAAGACATGGCAGGTTATATGAATTTACATTTCATTAACCTGGAAAACATGTTTTAATGGGTCAACAAAGTACTTTGAATTTCACACCCATAATAGTAGACTGTCTTGAGGGAAGACAGTTCATCATCTCCTTATTGCTTTTAATATAGGATGTCAGCTGCAATGAAATCACAGCTTTGCCACAGCAGATAGGCCAGTTGAAATCTCTAAGAGAACTGAATATCAGAAGAAATTACCTCAAGGTTTTACCACAAGGTAAAAAGAAAAAAAAATAAGACCTTTAAAATCACTTTCTAATTAAAACTTAGAAAATATGCATGTATTTAATTACGTAAATAAGTAAGATAAACCTCGCATTTCCTTGTGTTAAAATTTGTTGAGTTTGGATTTACTGTGCATCAGCAACATTCTACAATACTTACTGCCAAGCAGAAGCAATATGTGGGTCTTTTTAAAATGAATTATCTTTGTGATTCATGGTGGCTTGATACTTGTCTTCAAATCATTAGTTTGAAGAGTACTTATTTATGAAAGACCTATGAAGGCAGACCCTCCGCTGGTATAAAATGTCTTAGCTCTGTTGCGGAGTTATGACAATTTACACTAGCTGAGGATCAGCCCTGTGGAGTCCTAGAAATATTTTAGGAATCTTGGCGAAAAGTATATGATGTACTTAAAAATACTATGTTTTTTTTTCCTGAGGTCATTGTACTTGCATTAGAAGCCTAATCAAATCGGTACTGCTTCTGTGTGAGTAGAAGTTGCATATTATTAGGGCTGTCAAGTGATTAATAAAATTAATCATGATTAATCGTGCTGTTAAACTATAATAGAATACCATTTCAATATTTCTGGATGTTTTCTACATTTTCAAATATATTGATTTCAATTACAACACAGAATACAAAGTGTACAGTAATCACTTTATATTTATTTTTGATTACAAATATTTGCACTGCTATAACATGAAATATACGGCAGAATGCGGGTAAAACAGAGCAGGAGACGTACAATTCTCCCCCAAGGAGTTCAGTCAGAAATTTAATTAACGTCATCAGCACGGACGCATGTCCTCTGAACGATGGACAAAGCATGAAGAGGCGTAAGAATCTTTAGCGCATCTGGCTTGTAAACATCTTGCAACGCCAGCTACAATAGTGCCATGTGAACACCTGTTCTCACTTTCAGCAGACATTGTAATTAAGAAGTGGGCAACAGTATCTCCCATAAATGTAAACAAAGTTGTTTCTCTTAGCAGTTGGTTGAACAAGAGGTAGGACTGAGTGGACTTGTAGGCTCTAAAATTTTACATTGTTTTGGTTTTGAGTTACGTAACAAAAACTACATTTGTAAGTTGCATTTTCATAATAAAGAGATTGCACTAAGTACTAGTATGAGGTTAATTGAAAAATACTATTTCTTTTGTTTATCATTTTTACAGTGCAAGTATATGTAATAAATAATATAAAGTGAGCACTGTACACTTTATATTCTGTGTTGTAATAAAAATTGATATATTTGAAAATGTAGAAAAACATCCAAAAATATTTAATAAATTTCAATTGGTCTTCTATTGTTTAACAGTGCAATTAATCATGATTAATTTTTTGAGTTAATCACGAGTTAACTGCGATTAATCGACAGCCCTACATATTATGCTATTGTCCAAGTCAGGGGTGGCCAACCTGTGGCTCCGGAGCCACATGCGGCTCTTCAGAAGTTAATATGCGGCTCCTTGTATAGGCATCAACTCTGGGGCTGGAGCTACAGACGCCAACTTTCCAATGTGCCGGGGGGCTCTCTGCTCAACCCCTGATTCTGCCACAGGCCCTGCCCCCACTCCACCCCTTCCTGCCCCCTCCCCTGAGCCTGCTATGTCCTCGCTCCTCCTCTTCCCTGCTTCCTGCATGCCATGAAACAGCTGATTGGCGGGGCTCCTGGTGGGCGGGAGGCGCTGGGAGCAGGGTCGGGAGAGCTGATGGGGGGGCTGCTGACGTATTACTGTGGCTCTTTGGCAATGTACATTGGTAAATTCTGGCTCCTTCTCAGGCTCAGGTTGGCCACCCCTGGTCCAAGTGATGATACCTTAGGAAATGCACCAGAAGAAATTCTATATTGTCCACTCACCTCTTGGTCTCTGGTGTTTGATTACCAACACCGTTAAACTGTTGTGGGTTAGTTTTTACACACTGATACACAGTATTGGCATAAAACTGTGTATATTTGGGGATATTAAAGCAATAAGACATTAAACAGGAAAGTGGTGCTTATTAACATACACCTTAATTATGTACATATAAAAATGAGGTGAGTCTAGATGTGGTGTTTATAAATTTACAGGACTTGTGGGGATAAGATGCAGTTATGAAAGCCAGCTATTTTTCCTGGGCTAAATCTTGAAGTTCTTACTCAAACAAAATTTTCTTTGAAGACAAGTTAGAACTGAATGTTTGAATGATTCAATATTAGTAATGAAAAGCATTAGAAAAAAGTTGAGCACCCTAGTAATGTAGTCCTGCCCACAAAAGGGAACAGTTACTCTATTTGGCATTGCTTTGATTCTTTATAGTCACCCGAATTAATATCAACATAATAATGTGCTGGGGAAAGTGACTATATTTAGCTGTTTTTCTTACTTAATCCCATTTCTATCCCTTATTGTGGCAGCATTGCTTATTCTGACAATGCCTTTGGAGAGATCCCATCAGGATTTCCAGAGTTTATGCTATCAATACTGACCATCCTTTAGTAATCTGAAATGCTGTGGCCTACATTAGAGACCCAACCTTCTTGCCTGGCTCTGTCTGATCAGCAGTCCCAAAGAAGGTATCTTTGACTGACACAGCGACTCTAGGAAATGTCTATACTCCTTCAAAAGAATAGTACAATACGTTGTATCCCAACTGAGCAACAATAGTTTATATTACTAGAAATAGAGGTTAGAGACTATTCTTTCTACTTAATATGGTACAGAATTTATTTTCAAACCCACTTGTTTTTATGGAATTTGTAGATTTAAATAGCTCCGCTTCCCTTTGCAGCATGAGAGGTATTTGATTTTATTTTAAGCAGCTGCCAAGTTGGCCTACATACTTGCGAATGACAAGTGCTGTGACTATAGCACTGGTGGACATTGTACACAGAATGTAATTTATAAGGTCTGCAGAATGCATATAAAGTAACAGGATTGTCCACAACTTGTATTTAGAAGAAAAATAAATTTAATTTATTATACTGTGGAATCCTTACTTTGCCCAGTTACAAATAGAATCATATTCAAAAGTACTTACTTCATGTATTTTGTGACAAAAATAAATATCATAATAACTATGATCCTTTCTGTTACTTTTAGAACTAGTAGAGCTTCCCTTGGTAAAGTTTGACTTTTCCTGCAATAAAGTGCTCGTGATTCCAGTTTGTTTTAGAAAGATGGTACAGTTACAAGTATTACTGCTTGAGAACAATCCTCTGCAGTCTCCACCAGCACAAGTAAGTAATGTGTGTCACTTAAATTGTGATTTAGAATAAGGATAGGCTAGATGATGTCAAGAACAGCCTGTGTTTAATTATTATAGTATAAAATTCATTATCTTGTTTTTTTTGAAGATTGCAAACCCAGCAGTGCTAGCTGTTGGGTCTTAATTATCATAGTCAATTGATTTTAGCTAGAATTTTTTCTGAAATATAAATAAATGGGAGATGGTAGGTCTCCTCAAGCTCCTAACTTGTGCTCTTGAGCATACATAGCACCTGAACAGAGTCATTCTAGAATATTCCCCCTACTAAATTGTAGCTATCTTATAAATACATTGTTAAACTTTATTTCATTCACCTGTCTTCTTTCAATGGTTACTACTAATAAACAGGATATTTTCATGATGGTGGAGGGAAAAATTGTAAGAGAAGTGTTGTGGATAAACCTATATTCCATAACTGCTATAAGGGAATAGGTTGACATTTTAGGAAGCTTTGGTGTGATTTTACCAATTAACAAACCACTAATAAGTTCAGGCCAGGAAGTCAGTTAAAACATCATCTTCTGGAAGTCTACTGTATGGGATGCACACAGAAACTAAGAAGTTCCATATTTGGATATAGCCTGCCTTGAAGTGTAATATATTGTGATGGTGAATGTAGACAACACCTCCACCAGTAGACAGTGCTATATCTTACTTGTATGTTATGTTGTTTGTGATCTGAGGGGTTAGCAGGAAGATCTGTCCTGCCTGTGTTTACTAAGTTGGTGTTTGCTGTGTCCGAGTAAATCTCTGATTCTATAAGCAAATATTGCAACCAGTGGCTTCAAGATGGCAAAAGCACTTTTGCCTGAGAAGAAATTTACTGGATTTTTGAGTCTTCAGACTTTGAGAGGATTGTCGAGGAAGTAGCACAGTACCTAGTGGTATTTTTGAATAGTAATGCCAAGATATTTTACCAGTAGCTTCCCAGTGCAGATCATGGTTCTTATAGACAGTTACACAAACACTTATATAACCTCTATGAAAGGCCCTTGGCCTTTTTGGAGTACTGGAAGGAATGACAAGCCAGAAGGCATCTGGAAGAGGAACCCCTGCAGAGTTATATGCGTGCATTAAGGAGATTGTTCAATAGACCTTTCCGTCCTCTCCCTGTCCAGGAGATGACTCGAGTGAATCAGAATCTGCTGTGCCACATATGGAACTGGCAATTCAGAGAGTGGCAAGCCACGAGAGGATTCTGTGTGAAAAGTCAGTTTCTAAACAGTTTAACAGGAGAACTTCATAATCTGCTGGTGAAGGATAACATGCTGAACATATCTATGGACCTGATTATATGCAGAGTTCAAAAATATGGAAGAAGAAATTTATGTTTCCCTTAAAGGTATAAGCTGCTAATTCGCACCCCTAGGGTGATTCCTTTATACCAGATGCTGCACTTCAAGAAATTATTGCTAGTGAAATGGCTAAATAATTGGCAGAGGCCCATGTGCAACCTATTCACCGGCATCCCATAGGTCAGAAGAGAGAGACTGTTTCCCAAGTGGGTCCCATGACAGATGACATTTGCAGGTGATATGGAAGCAAAGGCCATTGGAGACAGAATTGCCCAAACAGAGGTAAGCCACACCAAGGGAAATGAGAAGTTGCTGATGCAGTAGGGCCACCATCAGCAACTCTTAGAATGGGCCAGTCAGAAGCTACACAGACACCTGTTACTATGTGTCTGGAGACTACAATGCTGTTGAACTCAGGATCTGAAATAAGTCTAATCTGTGGTGCCCCACCCAGTACTGAAAGGGAAGAGAATTTGTACTGCAGGAGTTAAACTGGTGAGTGTTAATCATCAACACTACTCCCCCTGAACTTGGGGTCTTCGCATACTAAGTGGACTTCTGTTGCGGTGACCAGTATTAAACCAGGGAATATTCCTATGAGGCAGCCCCCACATCAGATTTCCCTGGAATAACAGTCACGGATTATTTTTGGGTTCCACAAATCCATGCTTCCCTGTGACTTGATGTTCAGGCAGCAAGAACTGGCAAGGCCCTCTGCACCTACACAGAGAGGTGTCATGGTGGAATCTAATATCAGCGACCTGATGACTGCATTCCGGAAAGTGGAGAAACAGATGAGCTGGAAATGAACATGTCGAGCACAGGGTGCCAGGAAAAAAGGAAAATGATGTGCCCATCCAGGAAGGAGAGAAGCTGTAGGTATGCAACTGGAAAAATCCCAGAATTACTCCTTTTTTGGAGGGGACATTACACAGTAATTAAGAAATTAAACAATTTATCCTTCCTGATTTTAAAAAAAAAGAAGTGAGAGCCCACCCTTTTGTATTGCATTCAGAATTGGTGCCCAGCTTCACTGAAAGAAAGAGGAGGGCAAGCATTGAGGATGCTCAACAACTATTCCAGCGGGCTTCAGTAGAGGATTTGGAGGTACTCAGCAGGTTCCTATGGCACATAAGGGGAGACTGATTGTGGACAAAGAATTGCTGGGGTGTTCTAGGAACCTCAACACAGTGCCGTCTTCATCAGACAGTCTGACCACAACAGATAGGCCTGATCCAGAGGACATGAATCCTTCACTCGCTGATCTAGATCCAACTATGAGTGATGCGTACATGACTGAATACAGGACTTGCGTGAGCAGATGAACATGGAAATCTGCATGGATGGCAGACTACTTGGATTCCTAGGAGTTAATGTTTAAATTCATATTTAACTAGAGAGGGGAACGTTGTAATGATCAGTGTAGATAGCACTACAGTAGATGATGCTATATCTTTGTCAGTGTGAAGTTGTTGTATGTGGGTACTTGCAGTGTCTGAGTAAATCTCTGATTCTATAAGTGAGTTCTACAGTAAAACTGAAGGAAATGCCTATGTTCTCTGTAGGCTTCTGCCATCCAAAGTTTTTCCACTGTCATTGTTTGGACGCATTAAACTATTACAGCTCTGCTATGGGAGCCGAAAATGATTGTTGATTGACAAGCATCACTTGCATGGAATAAGAGTAAGACATGATTTGCTTAAAGAAAATAAGCAAAACGTTTGCCATTTTTCCATTAACCATAAAGCTGATTTTAAAAGATAAGTGAAGCAGACACCACCAAGTGGTGAGATTAGAAATATTAGCTCATTTTTATTCAAATGTAATAAATGCAGCATACAAATGCATAGAAACTTGTAAAGACCGTTTAACTACATAGAAAGAGACAACACATTTAAGTGCCCAGTTAACTACTTTCTTAAAATAAAAAAATATTTATTACTTTAATATTTTTCAGTTTATATTTTGTCTTTCTCCATTGGGAAGGGAGAAGGTACAGTACTTTCCTCATGGATTTATAATGTATCATATGTTAAATATGGCTGCTTCTTGTTTCTACTTTCTTTACACACTTATTTTGTTTTTGATGTTAAGGGAGATGTGCATTACTCTTGGAATGTATTTATACCTGAAGACGTAAAGTTGTGCACATCTTGCCCAAACCCACATGGGTCACGGTGGGCATGCTCCAGTTGAAGTCATTGGTAAAATTCCCATTATCTCCATTGCTACTTCTTAACGTCTTCTCCAAAGCAGCAAAATTAGATCGCACACTGTTTTTGTTGTAATTTTTACAAACGATATAATCTGATGAAAAACATTCTGTCTGCTATTTTTCCAGGAAGTTAAGGTCAAATTTGGAGCAAATATTTTTTAAAAAATCTTTATGGTTATAAATGTTTTTTTTTTCTCATCCTAATAGATTTGTATAAAGGGTAAAGTGCACATATTCAAATATCTCAGCATACAGGCGTGCCAGATTAAAACAGCAGACTCACTTTATCTTAATGCCATAGAACGACCACACTTGCAGCAACCTGTGGAAGAGAGGTAAGTATAAAAGACTAACGCTGCATTCTTTGTTCACATAAATCAGTTCTAGAGGTCTGGAAACAAAGTGGAATGTATTTTTTATTCTTTTACTTCAAGAGTTTTCAATGTAGTCTTATGTCAGCTGCACCTTTTTCTGAATAAAACTCTGATCTGAATTAATAATCTCTATTATTACAATTATTAAAGGCAGCCTTTTTCAACATTCCTGTGTTATACTTTATTTATTTATCACATATACTTTAGCACAAGTATATCCTTTGTATTCGTTAGCTTTTCCATTAGCTTATAAAAAAATAAAAATTATGGAAAATACTGTTTGCATGTTTTGGAGAATAATCTTATAATAATGGCTTCCAGAGAAACACAAAACCTCTGGGATTTCCACAGATTATTTCACACAAAATCCCAGTATTTGGTAAAAACTGAGCCTTAATCAGAGACCTGGCTTTTACAAAGACTCATAAAATTGCGTTTTTCATTTTTATTGGTAAATGTCTAGTTGCTGAAAAAGTGACACTGTGCAAAAAGAAAAAATGGTGGAATTGGGCAGGATTACAATTTAATTTTTTAAATCACAAATAGGCAGAAATGTGTGTGGAAAAAATGTAATGGTCAATGTACTATCCTAGGAACATGAGCATATGATTGATATTGTACAATGAGTAAAGGTCATATGTTAGGCAGTGAAACCAGAGCAGAAGGTACCTGGCATTATTATGGTTTACCAATTTAAATAAGTAAACCTCAAGGAGTTTTTAAATGAATGCATGTCACAAAGGTACCTATGTTGTTAATTACTTCACACTCTAGGGAGATCCAACCCCCACTCCTCCAACACTAATTCATTTTTAACATATTAATGCTCAGGTGCGATTCAGTTGACTACAGTCTGAGTTCAGCTATTTTAGTTGATTTGAAAGTCACTTTGGGGATATGCTAAGCAATCAGAATGCTGCTAAGCTGCTGGCAGTTTTTATCTGTGTGAACAAAAAAGGATGATTTAACAATAGATTATTTTTTCCTATACTTAATAAATCTTCTTTTTAACCAGTCAGCTTAGTATCTTCTTAGAGGAGCTTGTCGAGTTGTTTGTTTAATCCATGTTACTTGATGTTGAACATTTGCACAATAATGTTACCAGTCTTACTTCACATGTATTATATTATTAATTTGTTAAGGGACTGATCTTGGACCATAGAAACTAATGGGAGTTTTGGCATTGACTTCACTGAGATCAGGCTCAGGCTCTTACTGCACACTAAGATAACTTTCTGTTGGTTTTTGTTTACATTTAGCATTGATGACATATATCCAAGTAAGAAGGATTCTGATTCAGGTGTTGGCAGTGATAATGGAGATAAGCGTTTGTCAGCTACAGAGGTAAATTACCTGAATTTTTGCTTTTTCAGCCATTTTGGTTTATACTTCCAGTTGGATAGTTTTGTGGAGATGCTTTCTATGTAGCAAAAATATGCAGCCAAACCCTGGACAGAAATTTCTACAAAAGTAAAGAGTGAAATGATGAAGGTAGAAGAGAAACTTTATTCTATATATCCTGTGGAGGGGGCTGTCAAAACACTTATTTCAAAAGGTTTTAAGAATACATTACTGAAGAACAGAAGCTGATCATGAGTGGATTGATGCTTTTAAGATTTTATTGCCTATGAGAATTAATTATTTATCTCGCTCTGATTGAAAGTCAGTGGGAATTGTGCACCAAACTCCTTTAGGCACTTTTGAAAATCTCACCCTAAATTTATTATCTTGCTTCCACCACTCAGATCTTCTTTTCAAGTTCTTGCTGTCTAAAGGCCACTGGAAAACACAGACTCTGGATGTTACAGCTGCTTTGTAATGTTCTTGCACATGGCTGTTTTGTTCTGTAAATATTCATTAAAACAGACGCCAGGCTGGCACTCTACTTTGCTGCTGAACTGGCCCCCCTTTTTTTTTCTTTCTTTCTTTTTTTTTTTTTTGGAAGCCCAAAATTGAAAAAAGAGCCTTTTGAGGTGAGTCTCCCCAAAGTATAATTTGGACTTGGTGCAGTTTTTAAAATATTGTACATTTAAAAGCAGAAAGAGAGAAAGAAGTGTGAACAGAATGGTGGGAGGCTGCTGAGAGAACAGGGTATTGCAAAAAGAGAAAAGAATAGGTAAATTGAATCTTCGGGGGAGTTGAGAAGAGCAAGTGAAATTGGATGAATGGAAAAGAGCATGAGAGGAAATAGGAAAAAGAAGGGTGGGAGATAGTGTGGAAAATATGACAGGGAAAGTAATGGGGTATGGAGGAAAATGAAGAAGGAAAGGAAAAGGAGGAAGTTTATCTGTGTAATACAGCTCCCAGTGGGTCATGACTTTAGGACTTTATTGGTACATGCCTTTTTATTTTTTTTGTACAACACCTGCCATGTTCTTGATACTAACCAACGGAACCATATCATCACAGATTGGCATGATGAAAGCTTTAACTTCTCCATTTAATTTTTTTAAAGAGAATGCTGCCATTTTCTGTACTTCTTGTAAAGTATGGATTTTCATGGGAAAATGGGTGTTGGAGAGCCCATGTGGGTGGCCTCCCCTTGTCCTGGTCCCAGACAGGGGCTCCCACAGGGAGCAGCAGTGGCCAAAGCTGCTTCGTTACTCAGATGTTGTAAATGTGATATGGATGGGTTACCTAGGGAGGTGGTGGAATCCTCAGAAGTTTTTAAGGTCAGGCTTGACAAAGCCCTGGCTGGGATGATTTAGTTGGGGATTGGTCCTGCTTTGAGCAGGGGGTTGGACTAGATGACCTCCCGAGGTCCCTTCCAACCCTGATATTCTATGATTCTATGATCAGAAGAGGCCAAGTATCCAGTCCCCACCCTTTCCTCCCACCCTCCTTTGTACACTTGATGCTCGAATATGAATTCTGTTTGGTTGGGTTTTTTGTAAGTCTGGCAGCCACAAGTGGGGAATTCGGTGGTGAGGGTCAGTAAGACATGAGGCACGCTTTTAGCCACTATAAATAATAATGACAATGAATGGGGAGTAAATCTCTAAAGTAATTGAATGATGAACTTGCAGAAACTTGTCCAAGTTGCCATAGAATTTTTGGTCTGATTGATGGGAGGAATTCATGTCACTTTAAAGGAATACATATTTTGCGACTCTGAACATGTTTATGCTGATTTTCAGTGCTCATCTGCCTCTCAAATGGGTAGGAGAGAAGTTTTTTGGAAGTTGTGCAAGGAGAAAGATTCAAGTCTAGAATTAAATCTGAATTTATTGTTAATACAAAAACAAATAGAAACTAATGAGCACTTGTCATAAAGGATATAAATTGGTTTGTTTTTTAAATGTTGGAACATTAAAACCGGCATCAACTGGAAAGTATTTTGACAAGTTTCCCCCTAAAAATGAAGCTGAATCGCTGCAATTTCAGGCCAGCGTTTTAATAGTTTCCCTGTAGTCCTGGAAGCATATATTCCATTCAAGGAGTCTGAATTTCCTTATTGCCATATTTCTCCATATTGCTTTTCTCATATGTTTGTTTAAAGTGACTAAGCTTGTTAATGAAGCACTGTTATTCCAGAGCTTTCTGTGTGACTATAAATATTTTTAGAAAATGGATTGTCCCTCCTGTAATTAAAATGTAGCAGGCCTACACTGGAAAAATTGTTTTAAGAAAATAGCAGGAGTGATACAACCCCTTTTTCATATAATAGCACAAAGATTAATTATGTAATATTCATGTATTCATTCATTCATTCATTTTCTCTTTCCAGTAATAGAGAAAATGGGAAGTAGGATCATGAATCCTAAACATGCATAGTGAACTTAACATGAGAGAAGTGAATGGTATCACATTTTCTTGTACATCATACTTTGAGACCTCTATTGTACATGGAAATTTTGCAAAATTGTGATTTCGGGTCCACATTTTGTAACCAAATACATCCGTGATCTTTTCAAAGAACATAAATTGGATTATAATCACTTTCACTCCTTTAAAATGTGAATGCTTTTACAATGTACAAAAAGCTCATCTTTCTTACTGAGACTATCTTTACAAATATATCAAAACAAATTGACTTGTAGTTCCCTAAGATTAATTATATTTCAGTTCATTCATAAAAGACACACGACCATCTTATTTTCTTTCTTTTTCAAGATGTGGAGATTTTGTAATTTAAATAAAAATGAGCTTTTTTTAATTCAAATTAAGTGAAGTTTTTCTTTCATTTAACACTGATGTACATTTTAGGAATCTTGTCAGATATGTAGTTGGGCAGAAAGGAGGGAGAGGGGATAGTGGGCTAAAGGAACAAATTACATATATTCTCTGACTAGCTGGTCTGACCCTAACAGCATCATAGAGGTAATTTCTTTATATCTGAAGTGTAGTCCTGGATATTGCCAATATCACACACAGACATCTTCTCCTTTCATGTATTGTTTCTTTAGAAAATATATTGATTATGGCAACTGTGAGATAAATCCTGCTTTTCAAGGGTATCTCCTTTCCAGTATCTCATTCATCTTTAGAGAGAGGGAAACTTTGTCCCTTTTTCGAGTCTTTCGTAAAATTCTAGAACCGTTTTTTCCTTTCGAGTATTTGATTAAAAAAGAGTAATTGACTGTGAAGATCCTTATTTTTCACCATACCTAAAGAAGGGGGTGCCCTGCTTTTTGATGCTGATCCCTATGTGTTTTCCACTGTGGGGACACATGTGCTCCATGGCCCTGGAGCCGGAGAATTTTGAAAGCTGTGGCTGCTGATCCACATATTCACCCTGGCTCACCTCATGCCTCTGACAGGAGATAAAGAGTGTGTGGACCGACTGCCTCTTTGGTTCCTTCTCACCGCCACATGGTTCAGGTCAGACCCTCCAGAGTCCAAAGCTTTGGAAGTATTTCTTTATCTGTTAACATATATTTAGATATCTGTAAATAATTTTTAGAAGTTTTAGAATTTAAAAGTTTTATCTAATAGTTTATAGTATTTTATAATTAGTTAGTTAGTCTCCCCGATTGGGGAACACTTCTTCCTCTGTACCCCATTTTGGATATTGGACTATGCCCAGGACTCCAGGGTTCAAAATTTGTGCTTCTTGCCTGCGATCCTTCTCAATCAGCGATGACCATCAATGCTGCATGTACTGCCTTGGGGAAGTCAGTGTCATGGCAAGGTGCAATATCTGCTGTTTGTTCCCCAGTCATACCCAAGAAGGGTGGGAATTTTGCCCAAGGAAGCAGCTTATGGAAAAGGCCATGAGGCTGCAATCGGAACTAGGCTGGGAGCCCCCCTCAGGTCCCTCCCCACCCCCGTTCATCCATCTTCCTGACTCAGCAAGGAGTGTGCCTTCTTCTCTCATGAGGCCTTGTTAAGGACTTCAGCAGGGTTTTGTCAGGAGAACAGGGAGCATTCTCATAAGCATTAAACTAAATCTTCCTCCAAATCCACTTTGAAGAAGTTGGATTCAAACCTACCTAAACCAAGCACGTCTCTAAGCTCAGCCCACAAGAACTTAGTACATTCTAAATATCAGTAGCATGACAAAGGCCACAAGTTTAGGGCTCCATTGGCACTGAATCACGATCTGCCAGCACCAATGCCTCCGGTACATTCAAAACACAAACCCTGGGTTCCGCCAGTACTGATGAAGACCGATCACTGAGAGCATTGGCTACCCACAGTACAGTCTTTGTCTTCCATGGCTGGGTCACAGACTATCTGTACTGTGGCTCCAGCAGTTCAAATGGGCAGGACCCCTATCCCTCTAGGAAGAGCTGAGACCTGTGCTGCTCCTGAGGACATCTTTGCTCTTCCAGGTCTGGAGTCTCCTACTACATCAGGTCCCTCCCTCTCAAGAGAGGTTCTGACTCCACCAGGAGAGCCAACATTTGGGAGGAGTCTGTCTCTCATTCCATCTTTGGGCTGAGACTTTCCTCCAGTGGCACCATCAGTATCACTGTTAGGCCCAAAATTGGCTCTCTCCTCATCAGTAGATACTGACCCAACTAATGAATCATTATTCCCTCCTCCAAAACACACCTTCCTGGTCAGAAGGCCTGGAGCAGCTTGGGACCAAACTCCATCCCATCATCTGCCTCAGAACCATTGGTATCCCATGCAATGGGGACCTCTAAGATCCCTATTTGATCTATCTTATTGGCCATACTGGGTGCCATGGGACCAATACCATCCCACAGAATTGGTCCAGTATGCTAGGGAGTTGTCCCTTCTCTCCCATTAAAGAGAGCAACCAGAACTGCCAACTGAGGAGGAGGAGTAGTATGTGCCAAATCTGTCAGTTCCATTAGAAGTGATGAGATTGCCGTCTTTGTCTCCAGATGAGGCAGTGTTTCCAATGTCTCCACCCCAACCCTCCATTACTATAAGCAATTCCAAGGACTTCCTCGCAGAATTGCAGGGGAGCTTGCAGATTCCTCTTGAGGAGGTTCAGGATCCTCAACACAAGCTACTAGACATCCTCCAGTCCTCTGGCTCCACTCAAATAGCACTCCCTGTTAATGAAGTCATCCTGGAGCCATCTAGAGCAGTCTGGCATCCCCTGGCTACCTATGCCCCAACCCCTAACAGGACAGAAAAATGGTACTATGTCCCAGCCAAACCTGTGGAATTTCTGTTCTCTCATTGGTCCAGGCCGCCACAGAGAAATCTAAGCAACAAACTCCCTAACTGATAAGGAGGGCAAGCTTCTCAATTTATTGAAAAGGAAGTTCTTTTCTTCTAGCCTCCAGTTCAGGATAACCAACTACCAAGCATTGATGGCTAAATACGAATTCCATGAATTTTGAATAGTTCGGGACTTTGCTGACGGACTTCCGCAGCAGAACAGAGCTCAGTTGCAGGCTCTCATAGAGGAAGGCAAATTGGTTGCCAGAACCGCTCTCTAATCAGTGGCAGATAGGGCTGATACATCTTCCAATGCAAGAGCTACTGCCACTGTAATGTACAAGGAGTTGTGGCTCCAGGCTTTGGGGTTTTCCAGGGAAGTCCAGAACACTGTTGAAGATCTACCCTTTGATCAGATTGTTTAATAAGAAGACGGAGTCCTTACACACTCTAAAAGACTCCAGGGCCACCCTCCACTCCCTGGGAATATATACACTTGCCCCAAAGAGAGAATTCCACCAGCAGCCATGCAAGCCTAGACTGATGGCTCAACAGTTCTACCACTGGAGACCTTATGCGCCACCCTGTAAGAGGCAGAGGGTCCAAAAGACCTGCTTTGCCTCACACCTTCCACAGCAGGTTTCTCAGCATAATGCTAGCCCTCCGCAAAACGTTATTTGTGATGGGAGCTTGAGAGCTGCAGACTACTAAGTCCTGCATCTTCTGACCCTCACATACTCTTTAGGGATTGTCTAGTCCTCTTTTTCAACACCTAGAGTTCAATGACAATGGACAAATGGGTAAGGAATGTCATCCATTCTGGCTATATGATACAGTTTATGTCCCTACCCCATCCAAAACCCCTGCCCTGCCCTCTTTTGGGGGCCACTCTCACAAGAAGATTCTCAAACAAGAAGTGGAATCCCTCTTAGAGTGAGAAGTGATAGAGCAGGTTCCTCATTAGTACCAAGGGAGGGGTTTTTACTTGACATACTTCCTAGCATCCAAAAAGAAGAGCACTGGGAGACCCATTCTCTACCTCTACCATCTTCATTTTCACACTTAAGCTTTGCATGGTTCCATTGGCATCTATAATTTCATCCCTGGAAAAGGACATGCTATTTACACCTCTCAACATGAAGGACACCTACAGTTATGTGGACATGACCGTCTCACTGGGTGATGGTCTGTTTCTTCCATGGTCAGACCACTTGAACTATGCCTTCCCTCCACTACTACTCTTGCCTTGGGCTTTACACAGGATTCAGCAGGACAGGACATGAGTTATCCTCATTGCCCTCAACTGGCCCAGAAAGTTTTGATTCACAAACCTTCTACACATGCCATCTCAGGCACCAAACATTATTCCAACATTTCCTGATCTCTTGACCCAGGAGAATGGCAAGATCAAATGTCCCAACCCCCATCTGCTTCATCTCAGGATTTGGTTTTTGGATGGACATCATCCTTAAAGCTATCATGTTTTAAAGCTATACAGAACATCTTTTCTAATATTAGGAAGGATTCCACTAGAAAATGTTACCTAGTTAAGTGGAAGCATTTTTCTGTCTGTGGGCATCAGAGGTGTCCCCCTGAAAGCTGCTGCTATTCTTCTCATTCTGGACTTTATTTTTTTCCTTAAAGACATCAGGTTTATCTGAGTGAGTGGGTGGGTGAAATTCTGTGTCCTGCGTTGTGCAGGAGGTCAGACTAGATGATCATAATGGTCCCTTCTGACCTTAGTATCTATGAATCAGCTCCTTACGGTTCCTTTGGCAACAATCCGTGCATACCATCCACCTTCACAGGGCTACTCCGTCTTCATGCACCCATTGACTAGCAGATTCTGGAAAGGCCTAATCAGAATCTTTCTGCCTATAAAAAGGCCGGCTCCTCAATGGAACTTGAATCTTGTTCTCTACATATTAACTAAGCCTCCCTTTGAATCATTAGCTTCTAGCTCCATGTCTCTCCTATCCTTGAAAGTCACATACCTCATAGCTGTCACCTCAGCCAGAAGGATTGGTGAGCTTGGAGCACTGATGGTGGATCTCCTTATGCTATATTCCATACGGACAAATTTTTAATTGTTTACACCCTAAATTCGCTCCAAAGTATTTTCAGAGTTTCATCTGAACCAGTCAGTTCACTTAGCTGTGTTCTTCCCAAACCCACCCTCAACCTCAGAAGAAAGGAGTATCCATGTCCTCGATGTTTGGTGAACTTTAGCCTTTTACTTGCACAGAATAAAACCAATCAGAAAGTCTCCCAGACTATTTCTTGCCATAGTGGAAAGGATCAGGGGTCAGGCTATGTCATCTCAAAGTGGATCTCAGTCTGTATTTTGCTATGCTATCAGTTATCTAGTGTTCTCTTTTCTTATGGGGTAAGAGCTCATTCCACAAGAGTTCAAGCAACGTCTGTGGCACCATTTCAAGAGGTGTCTCTGGTTGATGTCTGCAAGGCAGCTACATGGAGCTCCAGGCACATGGTTGTGGAACACTGTGTCTTGGTACCAGGACTCCTCCGCTGATGCATCTTTTAGAATGGTAGGCTTTTGTTCAGCACTGCCATCTACAACCTCACACCCTCCTGTTATTTGGGTACTGCTGGTCAATGGCCCAGCACTCGAAGAAGAGAAAGCTACCTACCTTATAATAACTGGAGGTTCTTCAAGATGTGTGGTCCCAGACTGTACTGCTCTACCCTCCCTCCTTTCCCCCTGCTTTGGATTTCTTTATTCTCAGTAGAGAAAGAACTGGAGAGGCAGTCGGTCCGCTCCGCCCTTTATCTCCTTGGTTGGAAGCACAAGGTGAGCCAGGGCGCGTGCGCAGTCCTACACACGCTGCTTTCAAAATTCTCCAGCTCCTGATGCATGGAGCACATACATATACACAGTGCAATACAGATAGGGGTCACATATCTCACGAAACTTCCAGTTACTATGAAGTAAGTTTTTTCTTGTGACATGTAGTTGTCCCAGGATATTAAAGAGACAAGGTGGGTGAGGTAATATCTGTTATTGGACCAACTTCTTTCTGTTGGTGAGAGAGACAAGCTTTCAAGCCACAGTACCTTTCCCAGACTTGAAGAAGAGCCCTGTGTGGCTTGAAAGCTTCTCTCTCACCAACAGTAGTTGGTCCAATAAAAGATATTACCTTACCCACCTTGTCTTTCTCATAGGAAGGCAGAAGCTTTCAAAATGGCTGCATCAGGCACTAAAGTTGTTTGAAATTAATGCTACAATAGCCTTAGATTTTTAAGATGAAAATTAAACTCTTCTCTTTTGCGACTTTGATCCTTGTAAGTCTGTCAACGGCTTCCATTGCTAACTGAATAAAAATATAAGTACAAATGAAGGAAATGAGATACAATATTTCACTTGTGTAGAGCTATGATGACTTTATATAATTACAAAGTTGCTTTGGATAGTTCCTATTTGGCCCTATACTGTCAGGAAACACCTGGGAAAATCAGTTACATAGTTTAAAAAAACCAACCACCCTGAATAGCCTGTGGAAGGAACGATTGCAAATGAGCGAGGCTGCATTTACCTTTCAACACTTTCTAAATTGTTTGCATAACTCCACTGATCAAAAAACCCTGCCCAAATCTTAAATATTAGAATTTGTAATCATGCCAATAGAAGATGCCACTGGGCTGCACTATTTTCAGCTGATAGTTGCTAAATTAATAGGACCTGAATCTTTGGTCCAAAATAATCTTTCTGAATCTGCTGCAAAAGCCATCTGCTTGACAGAATTTGTGGAAGTGTTGAGGAATGCCTCTGCAAAAGTGGAAAGGGACATTACTGCTGCTCTGATTTAATGACTGTCTGAATTTATTTATTTCCTATATATGATTATTTTTAAACGCTGGATGGTCATCATTATGTCCATAATAATTATAACTCTAATTATTAGGCTGCGTAGAGCTCTTTGTACAGGGACCTTTTTTGTTTTAAATCTAAATAAATAAATGTTTTTTGTAATTGTATGTTTATAAATAAGTGACAAATAGAAGCAGTTGTGCAATACTAAGTTATTTCACTGTTGAGCTTTATCACTCATGGCAAAGGTTTGTCAGATTCCTCAATGTATATGTTTGTATATACTAAAAGCACTGAATTGTAAATGTAGAATTCATGGGTCAAAAGTATAGGACACATAGCCTTCCTCCTATAAGCTACTATTTAATCTTTTACATATTTGAATGCTAATAAAATAATTAACGTCAATTGACATTTCAGTCTTGGTTTAATTTTTAAATTAATGTTTTTCTTGTTTCTTCTCAGCCCTCTGATGAAGATACTGTCAGCCTTAATGTACCAATGTCAAACATAATGGAAGAAGATCAGATTATAAAGGAAGATACGGGTCACCACATCAACCTAATCCAAGGTCTGAACGTAAAGAAGAGAAAGTTGTTAATAACAAGAATTTTCCCTGCTATTCTAGATGTAATCCTGTATGAGTGCAATTCACAAAAAACTTCCCAACCCAAGTTTCTACTAACAACATGCTTAAAACCTACTCCTTCAGTTTACCACTACTTTTCCTGGAAAATTTATGAAGCACGTTTAGTTTTGTACTTCTGAGAATAATCACTTAGGCCTGAAACTACAAAGGCACTGAGGCACTTAAACCCCAGACTTAGATGCCTGCTATCTCACTCTAGGTGCCTGAATGCCTATCTCCTGCCTAAGCCCCAGAGTGATCCATGAACCAGAGTAAGGTAGGCATTTGTCTACCTAGCTCGCATGCATATCATGATCCTGTAGGTGTGCTCCGAGGCTGTCTACTGGATCGGGTACCATTCAAAATCTGGCCACCGGAGGAGGAGGACATGGAAGGTGGTGGTAGTGGTGCACCTTTAAACTTTTAGCCTAGTGGTTAGAGCACTCATCTGGGATGTGGGACAGCCAGGTTCAGTTCAGTTCCCTCCTCAGGCAGAGGTGGGGGAAAAGGAATTAAACGGGTCTCCCACACCTCTCAGGAGAGTGCTCTAACCACTGAGCTATGGCATATTCTGATGTGGGGCTTCCTTAGTCTCTCCTGTTGAAGCCGTTCTACTATGTATACTTAATCATTGGGCCAGTGAGAGAGAGAGTGACTCTGTAGCCTGATGGTTAGAGCACCCACCTGGGAAGTGGGAGTACAAGAAATAGATCAGGTATCTGCTTCCTAGACTGACCTAAAATATACTCTAGTCTGTGTAACTTAATTTTTGTATTGTTAGTGACATTTGTTGCATTTACAATTGATTGAGTGCTTTCCATGAGTCATATTCTTATCTCTCTCACTAGTGTAATTTAAAAGTAACTCCACTGACGTGAGTAGAATTGTTCCTGAATTTTACTTGTGAGAAATCAGAATCTGGTGTCACAACATAAAATAAATTTGCATTAAAAGTAAAACGTCTACACTTTATTAGTAGTGGTCCAGTGTAGGCCAAAGTCGTCCTCCCTGTTTTTATCATTCTTGTACCTTTTGGATTTCATTTTAGGCTGTGTTGCTGTGCCCTACTAAATTTAAAAGGTTCCTTAGGTGACTCTGATTTAAATGCAAAGTTGAAAAAGCTGAATCAGAAATAATTTTTATATCTTTTTGGGTCTTTTGGTCTCATTTCTCATTAGTAGAATTTCATCAGGGACCTTCTCTTATGATTCACAATAAGTCAAGAGAAGCAGGAAACCAGTTTGCTGAAGGATCACATCCCCTCACGACTGAATTTATGAGCTACATCAAGGCAAGTTTTTGATCAATTTTAAAAGAAAAAAATCTCATGACTACCTTCCTAGCAAGCAGAAGTGATAAACTGTTGGCACCTTGCTCTTAATAAGAGAAGTGCAATTGATATTCATCCTCATCAGTGCAGAGCCATAGAGGGCAAACATAGGCAGATTAATCATAACTGTAATTTTAAAGCTGTAAGGTCAGGTTACCCACAACACTTATTTTAACCTAACCCTCACCCTAACCCTTGAAATCTGTCCTTTTGTTTTCTTTGTTTTGTTGTTTTTAACTAGCAGATGTGTTCATCAGTAAAAGTTTACATTTTTCTTCAAGTTCTGGTCCCTGTGCATATTGCATATGTGGTACACATTTACTTAATGTGCCTGAGACTGGAGAATTTACTAGTAGTGCCTGTTGGTCCATGCCTGCACCCTTGCATTCCTCATGTTCGGTACCGAGGTTATAAGGGGAGGCGTGGACTGACTGCCTCTCTAGTTCCTTCTTACCGCCACATGGTCTGAGTAGAATCCTCTGTGTCTGAAGCATCTTCATAGTCTTTTTATCTGTAAATGTGTTGTAAATTCTTAGTGTTTTACTGTTTTTGGTACTTTTCTAGTAGCTTTTCACAGTTAGTATAAAGAGGACTATGCCCGAAGTTCTGGGGTTTAAGAAGTTAGTATCCTGCCTCCATTTCCTTTTGGTCAGCGATGACCATCAATGCTGCCTTCGCTGCCTGTGGGGAGGCTCACATCTCCACCAAGTTCAGCATCTGCCACTCCTTTCCTTCCTGAACCTGAGAGGGAGGAGAGCTTAAACTGTACCTCATGGAGAAAACCATGAGGCCCCAGTGGGATTCAGTCTGGAAGGACCCCTCTGTACATTACCAGCAGTCCCTGGAGTACCCAAAACATTGGAGTACCCTCAAGCAGCATTTGGGACCCTTGGGGGCCCATGGGATCCCTTAGCATGATACCCTGGATCATGCACGAGTCTGACTTGACCCTCTTCCCCTAGACAACAGCAACCAGCTCTGCCATAGCACATGGAAGAGAAAGATGTTGAGCAGGATTCACTGATACCAACCATATTGACAAGCATAAGCTATCGTGCCATCCTCACCATCCCTGCCTGATGACCACAGGCAATGCCAATAACTTTTGCAAAGGGTGGCAACCGAACTTCATATCCCACTTAAGGAGACCCATGATACACAGCATAAGCTCCTGGACATCCTGCAGTAAACAAGGTGGTCATGGAACCAGCCAGGGTGGGATGGCACATAAGCACATCTTGCAGCCCTATCCCTAAAATGGCTGAGATATTTTGTAGCTGTGAAAGAGACAGAATTTTTGTTCACCCATCCGAATCCCCAACTCCTTAGTAGTTCAAGCAGCCACAGAAATGTCCAAGCAGCAACAAGCTAAGACTACCCATGCAGACAAGGATACTGAATACCTCAACCTTCTAGGGAGGAAGATATTCTCATCTACCAGCCTCCAGTTTAGATTTGCTAAGTGTAATTTTACAAACTACTCCAAATTTCTGTAATTTAAAGACAAACTCCAATTCTAAGCCATTCTCGATGAGGGTAAACTGGTAGCAAAGACCTCACTTCAAGACACAGTGACTTCTGTGGCTTCCATCTTTGGGGCTCCCCACTGAGGTTCTGAATACTACCGAGGATCTGGCCTTTGATGAATCTTACCTCTTTAACAAGAAGACAGATGAGGCTTTACACTTACTAAAAGGTTCCAAGACTACCCGCAACTCCCTGTGCATATATACTCTGGCCCTGAAGAGGAAACAACATTAACAGGTATACAAGCCAAGGCTCGTTCCACAGCCTTTCTACCAACAGATCCCATATGACCCACCATGCAAGTGCCAGAAGGTGCAAAGACAAAGGTTTCGAACCCCATCCACTTTGGCATCATCCACCCAACCCATTCTACCAACTAAAGGTTACTTTTGAAGGGATGCTTGAGAACTGAGAACCATCATCGATGCCATCCCTAACTACTCCCTGAAGCTTTGGTGGCATACTTCCTCCACAACTGGAGGGCTATAACAACATACAAGTGTGTTCTAGATGTCATCCACTTTGGCTACATCTTCGAGTAGAGAGGCGTCTCTCCTGTCCCTGCCGCAGCCCCGGAGCTCCAGCATCTCTCCCATCCCCGCCGCAGCCCTGGGGTTGAGGCCGGGGCCACAGGAGAGGCGTCTCTCCCTGCTGCAGCCCCGGAGCTGGGGCTGGGGGAGAGGCATATGCCTTCCCCCCCACCCCCATAGCTGTGCATGCCCCAAGCTCCCTCAAAACCCATCACCGTCCCCCCACCTCACTGTCCCCACCCACCCTACACATCCTCCACATTCACCTGTGTTTGTGGTTGATGCCCAGCCCTTGATGGTCTGCTGTGTGGCTGCGCAGGCACACACTTTAGAGAGAACACAGGTGAGAACTTCATTATTCGGTCCTAAATGAAATCATCACCTGAGTAGGGAATGCCATCTTGGGACTTGTTCACCTCCCAAATGAACAAGAACATCTACTATCCTGGACAGACCACCTGAAGTATGCCTTTTCTCTCATTCCACTGGTCCCGCAGGTTCTGCGGAAAATGTGCCGTGACAAAACGTGCGTCATTCTCATTGCACCCAACTGGCCCAGGCAGTTTTGGTTTCTGGACCTCCTGCAAATGTCAGCCCGTCCTCCTCTCAGCATCCGCCCCCTCCCAGATCTGCTAACTCAGGAGAATGGTAGAATCAGACATCCCAACCCAAACCCTCTTCACCTCGTAGCCTGGTATTTGGATGGGCATCAGACTTGGAGTCTTGGCATGTACACATTTAAAGGGTGTTCAAACTGTTTGTAACCACGACAGAGAAGACTCCATGAGACAATGCTGTTTAGCTAAATGAAGGTGTTTCTGTACCTGGATGCAACAAAACTAGCTAGTCTAGAAAATAGCCTGGATATCTGCTGTCTCTGGAGCTATCTCCTCACTCTCAGATATCGGAGCTTTCTTTTAGCTTGCTGTGGGTACACCTAGCAGCAATCAGTGCCCTCCACATTTGGGTAGAGGACTATTCTGTATTTACTTCCCCGATAACTGCCAGATTTCTGAAGGGTCTCACTAGGATCTTCCTACCAGTAGTACAGCCAGCACCGCAATGAGACCTCAATCTTTTTCTCTCAGTACTTACCAGACTACCCTTTGAATCATTGGCTACATGTTCAGTGTCCAACCTGTCAATGAAGGTCACCACCTTCATCACAGTCACTTCAGTCAGGAGGATGAGTGAACTGGCAGCACTCATGACCGACCCACCATATTCCACATTCCATAAGGAAAAAGTTTCCCTTCACCTCCATCCAAAATTCACCCCGAAGGTAGTCTCTGACTTTCACATAAATTAATCAATTCACTTGCTGGTATTCTTCCAAAAACTCATGCTTCCAGTGAAGAGAGGAGACTTCATTCCCTCAACGTCAGATTATCTTTAGCTTTTTATCTGCAAAGAACTAAACCTATTAGGAAAACTCTCTTCTTTCTCCCTGTGGCAGAGCGATCATGGGGACAAGTGTGATCAGCTCATAGGCTGTCTAAGTGGACCTCTAGCTGCATCTTCTTTGCAATCAGTTAGCACAACTCCCTGGGCAGTTTTAGGGTGGCTACCTGGAGTTCTGAGCACACCTCTTTGAAGGATTATGCTTTAGCCAAGCCTCCTTTTCAGATGAGTTGTTGGGAAAGTGGTATTACAGATCTCTAGACTACCAGCATCTTCTCACCGCCTCCTCTTTCCACAGTCACCTGCCTGTGGAATACACATAGGGACCAGCACTTGAAGAAGAAATGGAGGTTAGTTACTGGTAAATGGAGGTTTGTGAGATGTGTGCTCCCTATCTGTGTCCCACTACCTGCCCTCCTGGGAGGAGTGGTAGATACGCTGGAGGGGAGGGATAGGATACAGAAGGACCTAGACAAATTGGAGGATTGGGCCAAAAGAAATCTGATGAGGTTCAATAAGGATAAGTGCAGGGTCCTGCACTTAGGACGGAAGAACCCAATGCACCGCTACAGACTAGGGGCCGAATGGCTAGGCAGCAGTTCTGCGGAAAAGGACCTAGGGGTGACAGTGGACGAGAAGCTGGATATGAGTCAGCAGTGTGCCCTTGTTGCCAAGAAGGCCAATGGCATTTTGGGATGTATAAGTAGGGGCATAGCGAGCAGATCGAGGGACGTGATCGTTCCCCTCTATTCGACATTGGTGAGGCCTCATCTGGAGTACTGTGTCCAGTTTTGGGCCCCACACTTCAAGAAGGATGTGGATAAATTGGAGAGAGTCCAGCGAAGGGCAACAAAAATGATTAGGGGTCTGGAACACATGAGTTATGAGGAGAGGCTGAGGGAGCTGGGATTGTTTAGCCTGCAGACGAGAAGAATGAGGGGGGATTTGATAGCTGCTTTCAACTACCTGAAAGGGGGTCCCAAAGAGGATGGCTCTAGACTGTTCTCAATGGTAGCAGATGACAGAACGAGGAGTAATGGTCTCAAGTTGCAGTGGGGGAGGTTTAGATTGGATATTAGGAAAAACTTTTTCACTAAGAGGGTGGTGAAACACTGGAATGCGTTACCTAGGGAGGTGGTAGAATCTCCTTCCTTAGAGGTTTTTAAGGTCAGGCTTGACAAAGCCCTGGCTGGGATGATTTAACTGGGAATTGGTCCTGCTTCGAGCAGGGGGTTGGACTAGATGACCTTCTGGGGTCCCTTCCAACCCTTATATTCTATGATTCCTTCCCCTCCACTTTGGATCATGTCTGGGTTCACAGTAGAGAAGGAACTGGAGAGGCAGTCGGTCCACACCTTCACTTATGCCATTGGTACTGAGCACCAGAAACCCAGGGCACAGGCATGGACCAACAGACATCATTTAAAATTCTCCAGTCTCAGGCACGTGGAGTGCACGCACACCATGCGCGAAATACAGGTAGGAACCACACATCTCAAAGAACCTCCAATTACAGGTAAATAATTTCCATTTATATTTTTAATTAGACAGTGTTTTCATGCATTCATAGGCTACAGTGATGCCAAAAGATGATGGGATATAAATGTGCATTTAGTTTGTAAAGATCTTAGCAGAAACGTCAAGATCTCCAAAGACAAAGGATATCATCTGCTGTTCGGTAAGCTGCGTAAGGATGTACTTCTCCTGAAAAATATAGTGAATAAGGTTCAGTGACTACCTTTCTCATAGGAGTCTGTTTGTAGCACTGATAGCAGGAAGGTGTGTGTGGTCATGGAGGAGTTAGAGCTATGGATAAGTTTAATGAATTATGTAGAAAGCCATGGGCTTTTTCCCCAACAGAAACTTTGGAATTGTATTCATCTATATTTCTCTTATATACTGTAGTAATCTACATCATTACTAGTGAAAACTAAGGTGGCTTTACAGTAGGTGTGAGAATGCACACTGTCAGCCATTGTTCCTGCTTTGCCCCTTTCACTGCCTTCATGGTTAGTTGGTTAATCTTTGTGAAAATATCACTCTTGTATTGCTGCAAGGGTTAGTGAACACTTTGGCTGTTAGCTATGTTGTATCCAGCTGTGTAAATAACATCTGCCAAGGGAATACTGTAGCTTACACTTCTGACTGTTTTTAGAATTGGTCTGAGACTTCTCTTAGGTTGCTCCATTGTACGTACCTCTCTGTAGTTTTCTGAATTGCGTGTTCTTCATTTTCATTATCCTCTGCTCTCTATTTTATTGTGGAATTGGATCTTTGGCATTCCTGAATAATATCTCTCTGAGAAAGTTGCAGTAAAATCCTTATAAACGATCCATAAATCATTCATGAATGCAGCCACTTTGTAATTCATGAATTTCAGCTGGTTCATTATGTAATGTAACATAACACGATTTTTGGACCGATTTCATCATTTATCCCATAATAGTAGGATTTCTATGAAACTTTTTATGCCAAGGTTTGAACAATGTTTATTTTTATATGAGAATTTGTTTGCTGGCCAGTTTTGCCAAATTTTAAGGACGAGTGTATTCCACTATGGTCACAAGAAGTTGCATTTTACAGTAATGTTGTGATTGGGCAGGCAGGTCTTGTCTAGATTGAAAGGCCAGAAGAGACCATTGATCATCTCATCTGGATAGCCTCTTGACCAATTTGTACCTTTTCACCGAGAGATCTAGGAAATGATCCAAAGAGGTCCTGTGTACTTGCCATCAAATTCCTTTATGAGAGAAAAGTGCTAGATAGCCACAGTGGAGAGAATGGATGTGGTTTCCTGACCTCTTAGAAGTGAAGGGAAAAGAACTTCTAGGTGTGCAAAAGAACTTGCCTTTTTGCAGTCCTTCCCACTATTTCCTCTAGCAGCACCGCTCTTGCAGGTGTCATTCTACCAACGGCAGGGCCTCCCTGGTAGTTTTGCAGTAGCAGCCATAGAGGGCATATACATTAAGAACAGTGTAAAAAAAATCCCCAAATGCTCTCAGCCCTCAGTGGCCTCTGCAAAAGAAAATGTAAACTGCTTAATTTAAAAACGTTTTTGTAAAACAACCAATTTCAAATATAATTACTTGTATCAAATACCTACATTTCTAGGGTGACTAAAGCTATCTGAAACGTGCAGTTATCCAATACATCCATGTTGCTTGTTATGTTATTGCTTACTGGATATATAAACACATCCTACAGTATCATTAAATGTGGCAAGTGTTTATTGCTGGGATATTCTCTGATATTATTAGGGAGAGTTTTTTATGGATGTTGGCTATATGGGATGTAATGTATCATCTCTTGGAAAAAGGGCAGGGATTAAAAGAAAGGGTCAATGAAACTAAAATTTCTATTTTGTTTTGGTTTGCATTTTTCATTTAAAAATCCTGACTTTTTTTCACCCGCCCAGCTCTAATATACACTAATATAACGCTTTACATCTCCAAAGCACTTTACAAACATCACGTACTTAATTTTCACATCTCTTTTGTGAGGTAGGTAATTAATGTTATCCCTGCCTGACATATGGACACATAGGCATAGAGAGATTAAAGGGAGACAGTTTTTTCTCTTGAGAATCAACATGGTGAGGTAGAAGGAAATGGAAGACTTCACTCTACTCTCTCCTCCCTCAAACTGGATCTTATATCAGAAGCTGCCATTAAATGCCTGTTGTGCATTAACACTTTCTCCCCTCTAAGGTGTGCTATAGAACTATTGGCTATTCCCTCAACAATGCCCTCAGCCTGGCTATAATCTAGCATTTTCGGCACCTCATTGTAGAGTGTGTTGCAGAGCTTAATTCAGTGATGCAGAGGTGCTGTTAAAGAATTTCAGAATGGGAAAAATGTTGCCTCAGATGTGGATTTTGATACCCTCTTGATGCTAATGACAGGTGAGATTAGCAAAAGTGCTTGAGCTAACAGTCCACAGGTTTTATGGGGGGGAGGGGTTGAGGCAAGGCATTTTCCTTATCGATCTGCAAGAGTTCGAATTTGTTGGGCTCTTTAGTTCACACTGCAGATCTTATATATTGTTTCCCAAGATGTATTTTGGGAAGGTGGGAGACTTTAAGGCTGGTATAAATTATGGAATCATATCCACACGAGAGTTTGAACCAGTTTACCTAAATTGATTTAAAACATAACTTGTTCAAATGGTTCAACTTGCAGTAGAAACAAGGCCTTAGTTTTAGTGGGTTTGGGAGGATTTTATATTTGAGATTTGTCCTAATTTGTATGCTTTATTCTTTAATTTGTGTACGTATACCCAAAGCTTCAGATGGTCATCTTTTAAAATAAATTAACATAAATAATGGTTAATGCAGATTTCTGAAATATATGGTGGGGAGCATAGTTATTTTTCATTGTAGAAAATACCTGCATTTTCTATTGGAGAGATCAAATGCTTCATTAATCACTTAATGAAAAATAACAGATGAAAAGAATGGCTTTATTTGTGGTATTGGGCACTAACTTTGGGAATAAAGTCATATTTTGTGATGAGAAATGTTAGAGAAGCCAGTGCACACAATTCAGTGATACATCTGGCAGAATCAGACTGCATTTTATTGGTGCAGGGTTCCTGAGATGGATGTGCCAAACGCATGGCCTTGAAAATAGTCCTTTTGTCTGTTGTTCATTCCCTGCCAGTGCAAGTGCACATCCTTTCAGACAGCTTCCGTCCTTACTGGCCCCTGAATTAATTCAATGTTTCTGCATGTTGGAGATGAAAATGAAAGCAAACGTATAAAGTGCCAAATGGAAATATAAGTGTCGGATGCACCTTTACAAATATTAACCATCAGTTCATAATTATGGATGCACCTGGTAGCAACTCCACAGTTGGAGTTCTGTTATAAAATGGGGTTAGAATGAGGCACGAATTCTTGGTTTTTTTCCCCTAAAAGTAGGTGACAGACTGGTGTGCAGTTTCCCACAATTAGTTTTTACGATGTAAATTTTCTATGAGGTCTATGTTTTGTTTCTTTTAATACTTTCTAACAGGAAGCCTTTGAATTAGGGCTCTGGTTAAAATGTATCTGGTTAAAATGTATCATTGGCAGATCTACTTTCATCATTAACCAATATTGCTTTAAAGTATTATCTATCCACACAAAACTTAGTAGAAAGGTGGGCCTTGAGAAGATCTGGTTCTTTTTTAAAAAATGAATTGAATGTGATTTGTAGCCATTATTCACATTATAACTGAAAGTGTATGCACTGTGTGCACCAACCGTGTTGGAGGGGAGCTGAGCAGGTGCAGACTAGCTTTGTTGACCAGACCACGTGGTAGGAAGATGGGTACAAACTAGCCTGATTGACATAGGGTGGGTTTTGGGCAATTAACCTGTTTGACGGGTGGTGGACAAACGCAATTTTGTTTGATTAATGGAGGGTTGGATGAGCACCTACAAAGCCTGATTGATGAGGACTAAACACACACACAACCTCCACCATGAGGAGCTACACTTGTCTGTGAGAGTGTATCTTTCATCATATAAATGTACCTGCTGACAAATATTTTCCTACTACACTTCAAACGCCAACCCCAGTGTTCCACTCCTTCCTTCCTCATATATTGCCAATCCCCCAGTACACATTAAAAAAACCTAGAAAATGAATGGAGCAAAACTTTGTTATGAAGCACTCAGGATTACTGTACACATGTCTGACACAAACCCATCGAAACAAGGAAATGAGAAGTGACCTAAATTATTCTTTCTCCACCCACAAGCACACATCTTTACATTATCACAACTACAGTACAAAACAGATCATGCACCACTTAGCAACAGAGCTCTTTGTGTATTAATCTATCTTTAAATAGTGACAGAATGGTCTTGATTCTTCTCCCACATATGGGAGTTTAACACCAGTGTAAATCCACTGATTTCAATGGAGTTACTCCTGATTTAGTGTGGCGTAAATGAGAGAAGAATTAGGCTCATGCTTAATTGGTGGGTTATTTGCATACATCAGAAGGATATGAGAGAAAATGGGGGCATTCAGTCATAATTCTCAAGTTGGTTGACTTATTTTTATATTTAAATGAGGTTAGGCTTTGCCCTCAATAAAATGTGACAATTTAATGAAAGTTGGTGTAATCAGTCTCTTGGTTGGGGGTGGAGAAATAGCAATGAAGCACAGACTTTAGATTGCTTCAATTAACTACTCTAAACTGATAAAGGAATTAGGTCAGTGCTTAGTCAGAAGAGGAAACTTATTATCTGTCTACTTTAATAGCAAATTTCTGTCCTAATGTTCATTATAATGTCTGTTCACAGGGCAGAGAGGCAGAATGTGATGAATTATTGCGAATAGAAGAAGACGCACACTGGCAAACAGAAGGAATGTAAGTATTCATTTATGTACATAATGAAATAATATTGGTTATCAATTTTAGGTGACCTAAATTTAATTTGCCTTTTGAGTATTTCCTTACCAGCTTCTTGTTTTGTATACAAGGAAGCATAACATTTATATAACAATAGAATTTGTCTGCATTTTGGTATTTTTAGTGCATTGATTAACACAGTGAAAATTATATTAAAATGCTGTAATACTGTATTATATTTAAGGAGAGAGCAGGTGTTGTTCAACTAGACACTGGCATTACATCTGCTATTAGTATTTGTAAAAGGGCTGTGTCAACCTTTTTAAGGCCAAAGTTTGACCTATGATAAAAATGTTATAATTTGATTGGAAAAATGCTGAAACCTAGGGGGTGTGTGTGTGTATGTTTTAACACACTTTCCTGGCCTTGTAATAATAGTGAATTCAAAACCACTGTTTCAAGACTGGTGCTGACAACTGTCAGTCGATGAACATACATGAAACAGATAGGTTACAATGAAAGGGAACTGTTAATTGAAGGGTTTGCTAAGCAAAGCAGCAGTGTTTGTTTCTGCTTTGCCAAAAGTTCAAATGAAAAAAATATCAGTAGTTGCCAAAAGAATAAACAAAAATTAGGTGCTTTTAAAGCTTTTAAAAGCACTACAAACATTGAAAACTAAAGGGTAAAATGCTATTTTAAAACCTGCCAGTGTCTCCCTTATACTAGAACAATAAACTTTATTAATCAAGGGAAAAAATTGTTGGTAATTAAATTTATTTCAGCGTCGGAAGTCAGGCTGTTTAAATTGATTGAAACGATAGATGGGGGAATAACTATTTAGTTCATCGGCTTCTAAACTGACTTCCTAGTTTCCACACGAAAATTGCCAAATCCTACATCTGTATATTAATCGGCACAAATGCAGGGTTTTGCAATACAATTTAAATAGCCAATTTGAAAATATTGCCCATTGATTTAAATTCTAACTCCTTTGATACTCACCTTAGTGTCTTTGTTTCCTACCATAGAACGAATACATCAAATAAGCAAATTATTGATATAGCCATGATAGATCATTTAAAAGAAGCAGTAGATTTGCTGCAAGATCCCAACAGGTATGCTCATATCAGAGGGTCTCCTGTTGTAAGTAATACATTGTATGGGAAATTCTGTGAGGATCAAAGTCAAAAAATGCTCTCTCTCTCTTTTTTTTTTTTTTTTTTCCATGACTAAATGCCTTCTGCCCTGCATGAATGCGATGTGGGATGTTAACTAGACAGCAGGGGATATGGCATGGTGCCTGGAAGGGCATGGGGGATGCAAGAATGCACAGTTTGCAAGATGGGTCTGGCTTCTCCTCCTCTTCGGATCCTTCACCTTTCCATTGCCTGAGGGTGAGGGGACTGGGCTGGCTGACTGGCTCTTGCATACCCCTCCCACCATTTAAACTTTTCCAAGCTTTTCAATAGCTTCTTATACTGGTTAGCTGCCCTGCCCCCCTTCCCTTTAGTTGTAGCATAGGAGTTGTATTTTCAGCATACTTCTGGACTGTCTAATTGTCTGTTTTGGGATGAGGGAGAATTTTTCCCATTGGGTCAAATTGACTGAGTGGGTTTTTGTTTTTTTTTAAATCTTTGTCATAGTGTTATGGAGGCTGAATTAGGTTGAAAGCAATAGAACTTGAAAGTTTAACATTAGGAAAGGTACGGTTGGCTAGTTTGTCGCAACTAGTAGGTAAATGCTAAAAGGGTCAGCTCCCAGAAATAAATGAGACATGGGGTTTCGCTAGTTGACCTCATGCCTATAGGAGATGGGGCCACCTGAAGTCTTCAGGGAGCAGTAGAGAGGATTCTGAAGTGAGGAGAGTCCTAGGGGCAGTTTGAGAAGGGTCTAACCTGAGTTATTGGTTATAAGGTGGGAGTTTTGTATCACCACAATGGAACCAGTTAAATGTCTGGTATGTGAAAGCAGGGCGTGGTGCATAGCCCCGCTATTCCATGTTAAATTAATAAAGTTGTGGCCTGACATTTAAATTCATCCCTGCATCTGTCATTCAGTCACCTGAATGTTCTGATTAAAGTATGTTTGTCTGTTGAAGTTATTTGTTAGCATACAAGGTGTTCTTTAGGAATGGGTTATCAGATGTTCTTAATTTGACAAGCTAATAAAAAAGAAAATTAATTGTTATGTGACCTTTTGACTAAGAGTAGCTTAGATATAATCTTCCCTGGATAGTATGCACTAGATTCCCATGATGTTAACACAGTGGTGTCCAAACTTTTCTGTCACTATCTCCCCACCCTTACCAGAAATGGAATCTGTCCATGCCCCTCCCCCCCTTCATTACTGCACAGTTGGCTCAACAGAGAAGCTTGGGGGAGCAGCTGGGGCTTGGGGGCAGAGCTGGGGCTGGGGACAAAGCCAGGGGCAGAGTGGAGCTGGGGCTGGAGCAGGGGGTACAGTGGAGTTGCAGCTGGGGCGAGAGCTGGGCTGGGAACGGAGCTGCAGCTGGGACCAGAGGTGGGCAGGGGACAGAGTGGGGCTGCGTGGTGCCTCCCCACGCTCTGTGGGGGCTGGCCCTCTCACGCCCCCCCCAAACATTCCTCTACACCCCCTTAAGGTGGTGCACCCCACAGTTTGGGAACCACTGTGTTAACAGGAACTGTAAATGTAATAGAAAACATAGATGAAGAAAAGCTAATTAATCCAGCCATCTAGTTGTACAGAACTGTTCCCCACAATGGTTTCTCTGATGCTTTGTATAGCCTAATTTAAACTTTTTCTAGGGATGCATTAGAAAAAGAATATAATCCCCAGTCTATACTTGCAATTGCCCAGTGGGAGTAGGAGCAGGCCCTTTGTAAATGAACAAAGGATCAGTTTTTTCAGTCGTTCTAGTGAATGTATTGCTGCTCACTTTGAAAATATTTCCCCTTTTAGTTCAGAAGATGAATTTACTTTAGCTCGTGCTGGACAGTTGTCTCTATAGAAATGTTTGTTAGTTTTGAAATAAGTAAAGCAGATGTTTTTACTTTGTAAAAGAGAAATAAGCTTGCCAGTTAGAAAAGTTTGTTCATATTAGTTCTGGATTCAGTAAATGCAACATTCCAAGTGGCATTGCTTCTGCACCTCACCTGAGGCGTTCTCTTCAGTTGGAACAAGCGTTGCTATTTTAAAAAAAAAATTAGTTTAAAAAATGTGTTAATTAAACATAACAACGAGAAGGTCTTGTTTGTCACTTAATTACTCAGTGCTGTAACCCATAACAGTACACATCTCCTTTCCCCTACCAAACCAAGAAGAGACATTTAAAAATGTAATGAATTGTTGTTTTAATATTTCAGTTTAACTAGGTTTCTTATTCTGAATATATGTTATGAAGCAAATATATTTGCAATACTCACGTCTGTGAATATTCAGATGGGCCATTTATTTCAAATACTGCTGTTCAGGATAGCCAATCATGTGTACATATATACAAAACCAGTAAAGAGAAATGTAGAAAATAAAATATGTAGGTTATTCTTTTTCTTTGTGATTTTAAGACGTGCTTAATTACATATCTATAGTCTGAACAGTAAAGAGCAAGTTGCACTATTTTCCCAGTTGATATTTTGCTATTTTTGGCAGTTCCAACCCACTTCTAAAGAATAATGGGAACTAGTATTCTGTTGGATTTGCATATGTACAGTTGAATAAGAATTTGTATAACCTACTGACCAAGGTTTAATATTGTAGTCTTGCATTTGGGTACTGAAGTGAGTGGTGTGTAGATGGGGAGTTGCAAGTAGTTGCACAAGTTAGAAGAAAACCATCATTTAATATACCCATTTTTAAAAATTAAATACTTAATAGAACGTCCATCAAAGATATACCCCAGTGCATTGTTTTTATTTCAAACCTTACAGATTAAGCATGGATATTACAGAGAGCAGTGGTGTGAATCTGTATCCCATGGAACCAGCAACAGATTTAGAATTACAGGAGTCTACAGTAAAGTGTGTTTATATTCCTTTTTCAGAAAAATAATGGATTTGCTAAATTTCATATTCAAGATTCTACACTTCAAAATTTAATGTGTTGTGTTTTGTATATCCACATACAGTGGCCAAATGCAGATGGAGGAGGCTCCTATCTATCAGGTACGTTGTCACTGTATTACAAAAGATCCAAGAGAGACACTGAAAATGGGTCACCAATTACATTAGCTATTGGACCAGTAAATGAACAAAGTTTAGTGGTCTGCAAGAGAAAAATGTAGCTGCAGTTATTTTCAAAATTTCGCATATCATTTTGTAAAATTAATTTGCTTTCACAAATTTTTTAAATAGCTCATAAGGACTTTTTTAATGTACAGAGATTTAGTTATTTTTAATCTCTGTAGTCCTTTGCCTTCACTGTGGCGACTCTGCTTGTTGCTGCACTCATAAATCTGCCTGCAATTGTCCCATTGAGCCAAATACTTCAAGAATTGTAATGGCCATAAAAATAGATGAACAGTCTGCAGCCCTTCGCTAAATGCACTCTTGTTTGTTTTTCTTCCTACCCTATCATTCCACTGTTCACTACCACTGTGGGATTGCTCTTCACAGTATTTGTACAAAACTACTTGTTATAGTGTGTTAAGAAAAAGTTGGGTATTTGTTTCTGATCCCCAGCAGTGTGCATAAAGTCTCAACAGATGTGTACATTGCAGAATGAAAATGCTGAGGAAGAACTAGAATTTCAGAAGAGGAGAGAATTGATTATAGAGAAAACCAAGACTGAAGCCAAAATAGCATGTGAGCAGGATGAGAAGCAACTACTGAGTCAGGTATGGAGGAGCCTGGGTACAACATATTTATCTAGTCCTAGGACCTTGAAAAGGGATTCCAAAGAATGTTATCCTATTCGTTGGTGTGCAAATAGAACTATTGTTCTATAGGATAAAACATGACTACTCTGGGGGTTTATGCCTTACCATGAACATAACAACGGCCATAGTGAGTCAGACCAGTGGTCTATCTAGCAAAGTATCCTGTCTCTGACAGTGGCCACTGCCAGTTGCTTGAGGGAATGAAAGAGCAGGATAATTTCAAGTGACCCCTCCCCTGTCTTCCAGTCCCACCTTCTGGCAGTTGGTGGTTTAGGGAAACCCATAGCATGGGGTGGCATCTCTGCCTTCTTGGCTAATAGCATTAATGGACCTATCCTCCATGAATTTACCTAATTCATTTTTAACCCTTTTATAGTTTTGGCCTTCACAATATCCCCTGGCAATGAATTTCATGGGTTGACTTTGCACTGTGTGAAGAAATACTTCCTTTGGTTTGTTTTAAACCTTCTGCCTATTAATGTCATTTGGTGACCCCTAGTTCTTATGTTATGTGAAGGGGTTAATAACACTTCCCTATTCCCTTTCTCCATTACCATTCATGAATGTATAGAACTCTACCATATCCCCCTTAGTCATCTTTTTTTTAAGATGAACAGTCCCGGTCTGTATCTCTTCTCGTCAAAAAGCTGTTCCATGCCCTTAATCATTTTTGTTGCCTTTCTCTGCACCTCTTCAATTCTAATATATCTCTTTTGAAATGGGACTATCAGAACTGCACTCAATATTCCAGGTTTGGGTGTATGGTGGATTTATATGGTGACATTATCATAATTTGTTTTATCATCTCTCTCTCTTTCCTAATGGTTCCTAGCACTCTGTTAGCTTTTTTGATTGTTTCTGCACATTGAGCAGATGTTTTCAGAGAACTATCCACGATGACTTCAAGATCTCTTTTTTGAGTGGTAACAGCTAATTTAGACCCCATGATTTTATATGTATAGTTGGGATTATATATTCCAATGTACATTACTTTGCATTTATCAACATTGAATTTTATCTGCCATTTTATCACCCAGTCGCATAGTTCAATGAGATCCCTTTGTAACTCTTCAGTCAGCTTTGGACTTAACTATTTTGAGTAATTTTGTATCATCTGCAAATTTGCCACCTCACTGTTTACCCTCTTTGTCCAGATCATTTATGAATATGTTGAACAGCACAGGTCTCAATACAGACCCTACGGGAGCACTGCTATTAATCTTTCTAAGGATTTGGCTCTAGAATAAAAATAAATAAGAATTAGCTCCTGGGGGAGAGGAACTGGTGTATTGAAATTCAGCATAGCAGGAGACATTTATAATGGAGATTTTGTAAAATACAGTGACTTTAATCTTGTAGGAAAAGAGAGGACACAACACCTAGCAGGATTTGGCCCTTCAATAAAGTTGAAAAAATATTTCTTCAAGATATATGTGTTGTTAGGCTATTGTAAACAATAGTGTTTAAAACACAAAAGTTTAATTTTACAAGAAAAAAACTATTTACACGTTGAAGTAATTATTAATCTTCAAGATATCTTGGTTTTTGAATGTGTTGTAGTCATCAAAATTTAAGATGTCTGAAACCTGTGAATTTTTGTTGATATTTATTATCTTGAACCTTGATTTTGACAGTGTCCTTGCAACAAGCCACAGAGAACATAGTCATATATCATTCCACATACAATTAATTTGCTAATTCCTTTAATATCTTCTGTGTATCCAGAATCTCTAATTGTGTATCTTGAATTTCTTTTTTGAGTGATTGCACATGTCCATTTCACTGTAGGTTGTGTGTGTGTGTGTCTGTACCTCATGCGTAAGGCTACGATTTAGTCACGGGTATTGTTAGTAAATGTCACCGATAGGACACGGGCAATAACCAAAAAGTCACGGCCAGTGACCTGTCAGTGACTTTTAGTAAAAATATCCCTAACTAAATTCTACCTGCTTCGGGGGGGGCCCACCTGGGGCCCTGCCACCGCTGCTTCTCCGGGTGGGGGGGCAGCCCAGGGCCCCGCCACCACCATGTGTGCTGGGAGGGGGCATCCTGGGGCCCTACCGCTCCCACGCCTGGGGGTGGCCTGCGGCGCCACTGTTGCTCCTGAACCACTGCTCTGGGCCAGCACCTGGGACCCGTTGTCTGGGGCCACTGGAGCAGCAGCCGGTGCAACTGGACCCAGAGCAGCCCCAGCAGGGTGGTCCTGTGGTTAGCTGCTGCAGCTGCGGAAGTCACGGAGGTCCCAGAAAGTCATGGAATCCGTGACTTTCCATGACCTCCATGAAAGATTTGCAGCCTTACTCATGAGCAGTTGGAGAAGATTTTCCCCTCAGCATTTTTCCCTGTCAGGGCTGCATGAGTACCGTTTTTCATCAGTGTTATAAAAGTGACTTTTTTGATATAGCATGATTATTATATACTGTAACATATCTGGCCTGTTGAGCAAGTAGTGCCAGGATGTCTGTTATGGACTTGGACCCCTTTAGCTGTGGGGTTGATGAAAGCTGTCGTCTCCAGGCAGGACACATGATGAAGAGGGATCTACTGACTTAGAGTGCTCTTATTCAGTCTAGAGAAGATGAGGGTTGATTAAAACTCTGAGGGAAGTCCTTTCATGAAGACTTGGCAGGAGCCCTAGGAGGTACACAGGAAAGCCTATGCAGTGGGGAAGGGTGTGTCTTCTCCCATCCCAGCTTGCTGAAAGTTGGAAGCAGTCTTAGTGGTTGGGGCCAAGTGTTCTGCATTGCTTTGTTTGTTCCAAAACTTTTTTGCAGTAATAAAGCTGGCCCTGAGGAAAAGGTGTTGCATTGAACTGTGGTTTGGCCTTTATTTTACCTTCCATAACTGGTGTATCTGCCCACTGGCTTACATATAAATGATATGTTAGTACTTGTAAGTCATGTTGTGAAATATGCAGCATACATTGTCAGTCTGATCCTGTTTAAAGAAGTGGCAAAAGATAAGTTGTACCATTATTGTAGAACTGACTCCTGGTAAATCTTTAAATCTATATTAAAATAGTTTTGTTTGGTGCTTGTTTAAATTATGACAGGTTTCAGAGTAACAGCCGTGTTACTCTGTATTCACAAAAAGAAAAGGAGTACTTGTGGCACCTTAGAGACTAACCAATTTATCACTCTCCTGCTGGTAATAGCCCATCCAAAGTGACCACTGTCTTTACAATGTGTATGATAATCAAGGTGGGCCATTTCCAGCACAAATCCAGGTTTTCTCCCCCCCAAACACACACACACTCACTCTCTGGCTGGTAATAGCTTATCCAAAGTGACCACTCTCCCTACAATGTGCATGATAATCAAGGTGGGCCATTTCCAGCACAAATCCAGGTTTTCTCACCCCCCCACCCCCATACATACACAAACTCACTCTCCTGCTGGTAATAGCTCATCCAAACTGACCACTCTCCTTACAATGTGTATGATAATCAAGGTGGGCCGTTTCCAGCATAAATCCAAGTTTAACCAGAACGTCGGGGGGGGGGTAGGAAAAAACAAGGGGAAATAGGCTACCTTGCATAATGACTTAGCCACTCCCAGTCTCTATTTAAGCCTAAATTAATAGTATCCAATTTGCAAATGAATTCCAATTCAGCAGTTTCTCGCTGGAGTCTGGATTTGAAGTTTTTTTGTTGTAAGATAGCGACCTTCATGTCTGTAATTGCGTGACCAGAGAGATTGAAGTGTTCTCCGACTGGTTTATGAATGTTATAATTCTTGACATCTGATTTGTGTCCATTTATTCTTTTACGTAGAGACTGTCCAGTTTGACCAATGTACATGGCAGAGGGGCATTGCTGGCACATGATGGCATATATCACATTGGTGGATGTGCAGGTGAACAAGCCTCTGATAGTGTGGCTGATGTTATTAGGCTCTGTGATGGTGTCCCCTGAATAGATATGTGGGGACAGTTGGCAACGGGCTTTGTTGCAAGGATAGGTTCCTGGGTTAGTGGTTCTGTTGTGTGGTATGTGGTTGTTGGTGAGTATTTGCTTCAGGTTGCGGGGCTGTCTGTAGGCAAGGACTGGCCTGTCTCCCAAGATTTGTGAGAGTGTTGGGTCATCCTTCAGGATAAGTTGTAGATCCTTAATAATGCGTTGGAGCGGTTTTAGTTGGGGGCTGAAGGTGATGGCTAGTGGCGTTCTGTTATTTTCTTTGTTAGGCCTGTCCTGTAGTAGGTGACTTCTGGGAACTCTTCTGGCTCTATCAATCTATTTCTTCACTTCCGCAGGTGGGTATTGTAGTTGTAAGAATGCTTGATAGAGATCTTGTAGGTGTTTGTCTCTGTCTGAGGGGTTGGAGTAAATGCGGTTGTATCGCAGAGCTTGGCTGTAGACGATGGATCGTGTGGTGTGGTCAGGGTGAAAGCTGGAGGCATGTAGGTAGGCATAGCAGTCAGTAGGTTTCCGGTATAGGGTGGTGTTTATGTGACCATCGCTTATTAGAATTATAGAATCATAGAATATCAGGGTTGGAAGGGACCTCAGGAGGTCATCTAGTCCAACCCCCTGCTCAAAGCAGGACCAATCCCCAATTTTTGCCCCAGATCCCTAAATGGCCCCCTCAAGGATTGAACTCACAACCCTGGGTTTAGCAGGCCAATACTCAAACCACTGAGCTATCCCTCCCCCCCCAAGCACTGTAGTGTCCAGGAAGTGGATCTCGTGTGTGGACTGGACCAGGCTGAGGTTGATGGTGGGATGGAAATTGTTGAAATCATGGTGGAATTCCTCAAGGGCTTCTTTTCCATGGGTCCAGATGATGAAGATGTCATCAATATAGCGCAAGTAGAGTAGGGGCATTAGGGGACGAGAGTTGAGGAAGCGTTGTTCTAAATCAGCCATAAAAATGTTGTCATACTGTGGGGCCATGCGGGTACCCATAGCAGTGCCGCTGATCTGAAGATATACATTGTCCCCAAATGTAAAATAGTTATGGGTAAGGACAAAGTCACAAAGTTCAGCCACCAGCATTTTAAGGAGAGTGATCACTTTAGATAAGCTATTACCAGCAGGAGAGTGGGGTGGGAGGAGGTATTGTTTCATGGTCTCTGTGTATATAATGTCTTCTGCAGTTTCCACAGTATGCATCCGATGAAGTGAGCTGTAGCTCACGAAAGCTTATGCTCAAATAAATTGGTTAGTCTCTAAAGTGCCACAAGTACTCCTTATCTTTTTGTTTAAATTATGAACTCCATAGAACACCCTGAAATATTGACCTCTCCATGCAGGAACCATATATTAAAATGTTGTAACTTGTGAAACAAATATAATAACCAACTTACGTGCTAGATTATTTCTAAAAGTCTACAAATTTCTTTTATTTCTATTCTAAATTAGGAAAATTTCTGTTCTAACTGAGGAAAATTTAATAAACTCAAAGTTTGCGCACTTAATGAGAATGTCACTAGCTCATTTAAGAATAGAAGTGTGTACATGTGTTCTTCAAGAAAAAAATAATTGTTTCACTGAAAGGCTAACTAGTCTTTGAAGATGAAAAGTATTATATAAATGCTAAATATTATTCCTATTAGTTTAGGATTGTACTTAGTTTTTACTTTAAGTCTATTCACTCTAATTTTCCTTGATGAAAGTATGGGTAGAATGGCATAGGTTCCCTAAATCTCTCTCTATGGCAGTGTGAATCTACCTATCAACAAAATGCTCTTTATTGTGTGATAAATTTACTTACTGAACCACTTTATTTCTATTCAAACATGCAGAATGATCTGATTGTCTGGAATATAGGAGGACGCAGTTCTCACAATGAGGTGAGATACTACTAGTATTGTGTGTGTGTCTAATGTAAATTTTACTTTTGATTTACACATTGTCCAATGTCAGTGTATTTTTGACTATTTCTACCTGTTAAGAATGAAGTTGGTAATTGAACATCATTTGAGTTAAAATGATAAGTGATTGTCTTCTATTTCTATTTGCTGTAGCCTCTGTAATTTGATCCTTTTCTTAGTGTTTAATTGAACATAAACATGCAATCCTGGAAGTGTTTCTGATGAAATGCAGAGTATGTTGATTATATATGTTGATTATATGTAAGAGCATACCTCTGTTTTATTTCATTATACTTTCTCAAATTCTGCCACCTGGTGTTGAGTAGTACCCTATCCCACGAGAACTCCCATTGATTTCAGTGGGACTTCTTCTTGAATACAGTACATTCTGCCAAGAGTGGCCCTTTATAGTAGATTTCAGAAGGAAAAGTTATTTCCTTGGCCCCATTCTCCTCCATGGAAGCACTCTCAGGAGGAAGCTAAAGGAAAGGAAACATTTTGAGGTTTTCCTTGTGGAGATTTGTTGTTAATGGTTCCGTTGGGGAGGCAGCATCTGCTGCCCCATGTAACTGTGTGGATGGCTCACAAATTCAGTGGACCGTGAGCGAATCAGGTGAGAGCACTGTGGCTGCTCCCTGCTCTCCACAGACTTACGCCCAATTTCTGCCATTGTAGCTCCAATAAAGCCTTGGTGATGGGACTCCTATAACCTGTGGCTCCCCCAGGAAGCCCCTTTTCTGGTTGATTCCCACCATGGAGTCTGTGTGGGCACAGAAAGATAATACAGTCTGTGCTGTACTATCTTTCCAGTCTTAGCTCTCCATGGTACAGAAGGGTAGAGTGTTTATCCTCCATATTCTTCTACCCACTGCTGTACTCCTTCCTTTCCTCCTGCATAGATCTGCAGACCCAGTTCAAGGTCAAGGGGGAGGATGCTCTGAGGTGTCTAAGTAACATCCCCCTTTCAGGTTTTTCTTGCTTGGATTTGAGCTGGTTTTTCTTCCGAAGAATTTCACAATACAGTAGGCAAAGCAGTTAGGCAAGGAAGTGTATTAATGCAATGAAAGAACAGAATGTACGTAAGGAAGGAGTGTTTTTTCTTATTCATTCTAAAATCTTGCACTGTAGTGATGAATTATTGTTCATGTGAAATGTTTGTGTAATATTAAAGTGATGATATGAAATAAAACTGAAAAATAATCAGATGAAGTTAGAACAGTGGGACAAATCCTGCAGTTCTTACTCAGTCAGAATCCCCTTTATAGTCACCAGGAGATTTGATGGAATAAAGAGTGAATTAGGGTTACAGGATGTGAGCCTATAATGTTAACAATTTTGGGGAAATAATTGTAATGCTGCATGATTGAATCTCTATATTTTGTGTAAACAATTGTGCTGAGATGTACAGTTTCTTACTCATATCTATCTTGAAACACACAGAGTAAGGAAAAAACTCCCACACAATCTCCTACTACAAACAACACCGCTCCTTTTGGCCTGAAGCCACGATCAGGTAAGATTGTGAAAAAGAATAAATTACAAGAGGGCTGCTTCTCCAGTAAACTCAAGGACCTTTGTTTTCTTCTATCTTATCTCCATCCAGCAGGAATCAACAAGTCTCTTTTTAGTTTCTTAAGCCTGTGCTTACTGGTGGTGAATGTTCACTTACAATAGATATATATTTAGAAAGAAAGGAGGCAAAAACACTGTCCCCAAAACACTGAAAAAAAGTACAGTAGAAGTACTAACTTTTCAGCACATTTTATATGGATCAGTTTTCATCCCTCATTTTTTTCATATATAAAAATGCCATATATCTGCCTGATGCATCAATTTAAATCCTATGTTCACCTGGTTGACATACAGAGATACATTTTAAAGCTGTGAATAAATAAATTTATATGATAATTAGGTTTATTCAGGTAATTATTGTGCATTGCTCTGAAAATATATTCATGAGTTTTTCCATAGGAGTATGTATAAATATCAAATTAGGTGTTAACATAGCTGCAGTCTGTAGCAGAATGAATTTGTGATGTGCTAAATGCATAATCACTGACGTTTTAATTAGTGTGTTGATATAAACTAATTTTAATTGCTAGGGTATTAAGAATGAACAATCTCTTTTTAAAATGGGATCAGATGTAGGATGACATCGTTTTTATCTTTTGTTTGCTGAAATATGCAATATTAGAAGTCCTCTCACATTGTCTTTGAAGTATATCATGGTTTAGATTTTTTTAAATTTATTTCAGCTTCCTAAAAATGTAATTGTATTTTTTTTTCACCACTAATACCTTTAATCGAATGCTGGTAAGCCACTACAAGCCTGTAGCTTTCGTAATGAAATATTTCAGAAATAGCAGCACATTTTCATATTTGAATGCATTATAAGAAATTGTACCCTTAGAATTTATTAAAGCAAAAAAAAAGGGATAATGAAACAAAGAAAACGTTGTTGAACCAAAATGGGTATCATTATTGAGAGCATTTAAATTCCCTGTTCAGTTGAGACGATGAGAAAGGTGTGCAACTTAACCAGGATACCCAAAAGTTTTAGATTTGTTCAGAACCAAGGCTTAACAGCTTAACAAACTGAAAAGTACAAACATTCTTGTGTATCCTTACTGCTTCAATTAATTTTAAATATACGCCAACATATCAATGCCCTCCACTCCTGACAACTCAGTGTGTAAAAAAAGGACTTCCTCTTTGTATATATGTTAAGTAATTTAACCCTTATGTCTCAGTTGTTTTTCATATAATATTGAACAGACAACCTGAAACCCATTATTGCATAGTGCTTTACTTTACGCTTGCTCACACCAGTTTTGCAAGTGTCATTTCATGGGTTTCAATTGGATTACTCGTGATTTGCACTAGATCAAACAATGGAATTATGCTGGTGTGAAATCAGAATCAGGCCCAATGTCTTTTCCCATGATATAACATTAGTGTGAGTGGCCTGGTCTATGCTAATGAAGTAAGTTGACCTAAGTTATGCTTGTTATTTAGGTAAAGATACATACCTTAAGTCAACGGAGCTTAGATAGACTTACAGTGGTATCTACATCATGCTATGTCGATGGGAAATGCTCTCCCATCAACTTATCGCATCTTCATCAGACCTGCTAAATTGATGCCTGCTGGATCGATCACAGCAGCGCTGATTTAGCCTTCAGTGAAGACATGCCCTTAGTTGATCATGCGCTGTAACCCAGCGTGCTGTGATGAAACATTACAAATGAAATTTGACACCTTGGAAATTACTCACCTCACCTATCCCATTTCCCCCCAAAAAGCAAGTGCTTCATACAGGCATTAAATCTAGTCCTTTAATGTAGTTTACCCACACATTAGAGCTGAAGATAGTATAGCTGTGAAGACACCTGCCCTATTAGTGAACCTTGTGTGTATTTGCCTTTTCAAGTCAAAACTGGTTGACTTGACACATCTCTAATTTCTTCAGGTAATGCCATCGAACTTTTCAAGCTTTTTTTTCTTCTCAAAGAATGTACAAATCTAAACCCTTCCACCAGTCAGTGTTTGCTTGTACAAATGTACAAATCTAAACCCTTCCAAACAGTGTTTGCTTTTTAATTACCTACATCCTTATTGACATAGAGCTGGTCTTGGAATCCAAACATGCTGTATGAGCCTGTAAAGTTAGTATTATAGATTTCAGTTCAGTTTAGAGTTGAGGTTTAAAAGCTTTTTTATTTAAGTAATATGTGGCCTTGTGGGAGAAAACCTAAAAAAACTTTAGACTAATTTTTAGCAGTTTACTGCTACAATTTAAATTTTATGGGAACAGATCAAATTATTTTAATAACAGTGCAAGATTTGTTTTAAATTATGCTAACCAAAATTTGTAAATCTTGCTCTGAAAACAGAAATAAGAAAGATGTGATAGAAAAGAATATACCAGAGGGGAAGAAATGAGGGGGCAGACTTTCAAGCAAAACATGCCCTTCAGAGTGTATATTTTATTTTCCCTATTTGATTCTACTTAAAATTAATGTTTTGCTTTCTATTTAATATTATTGCACTGTGTCAGTGATTTATGTCTCTAGGAAAGGTAAAAATAAACAGAGTACTAGACTTCTGGTAGTGATTCCAGCTTTTTGAAGTACATACACAAAGCCTGCTTCCAGAGGATAAACCACAGTTACTTAGATTTCTCTGTCAGCCCATACTAGATCTGTGTTCATGAGTAAAAGTTCTTTTTATACCCACATTTTAAGGCTCGCCAAAACATGAGGAAAAATCCAAACATGATGCCTAATTAGGTATCCAAAGAAAATGTTTTTCAAAGGTAATGAGTGTGCTATCCTGACCTCTTGGTGTATACCCTTTTTTAATAAAAGGGTCAAACTGCTATACAGAAGTTAAAAGGTATACACTTTTGAAGAGTGGATCTCTCTAATTCACACGAGTGATTGGAAAAACATTTGAACATGACTAAATATTGTAAAGAAATAAGTAATATGAATTTCCTTTTAACAATAATTCTGCTGCTTGGAAACACTTTCATACTCTGAGCAGGAATATCTCTGAACAGTTCATGGATTTACTCTTGATTTTTCAAATAGATCGAAGCACTATTAGTAATCGTGGTGCTATTGTAGATAAATTTGAGAATTTCCTAAACTTCTTGCCATGTCATTCACTATAAAACCTTAGTTCTACTCAGAACTTGGTTGGATGTACCCACATCATCTCATACCCTTTGCAGTATTCAAAATTATTCATTTCTACTTTTGTGCCATTTTTACTTAGTTTTTCTTTCATGACCTTTACTGAACAGAGTGGCTTGCAAGCCTAACTGAGGAGCAATGCTTGTGTACTCACAAGCTACACTAAGTACTGAAAAAAAAATCAAGATACAAGGCCTTTTGCAGTAGAAATTCCACAGGAAATGAAGAATAGACTGTTCATTAATTGAAACAAAACTCTGAAATACACGTCTGCATCAAGTCCCTTCATTTTTGTAGCCCTACCTAGCACATTAAAGCAGATTTAGTTTGCATTGACATGTGCTGGAAACTCATTTTTTTTATGTCAGTTGCAAAGAGTAACTGAGAATCAATTAGTAATTATTTTTCTCTTCTTCATTAGTTAGAAAAATAGTAACTCTACGTCCTCTCATTTATTGTTACATTTAAAATTTCTTCCCAGGAAGTGAATTGGCTGGTATGTGTACTTGGAAACTCATGAGAATCATTTTTAACAAATGAGACTGACAGTGCCGGCAATATTGCTTCAGACCCATACTGTTTTAGCAGGTGTTGATCCTACTTGAAGTGTGTTAGGTAGGTTTTGCTGACTCATTGATGCAGCTGGCTCCTTATCCCACAGGATATAACTGAGCTTGGAGTAGCTGGAGTCAGAGTGAACTGAGGTTTGGAACACACAAATTCTAAGGAAAAGAACACTAAGAGCAGCCAAACCTAATGATTTAGAGAGGGTGATAGTTGTGATATTATTTTTAATTACTCTAGTTAACCTGTCAGATTCCAGAAAGGGTGAATTCTTTTTCTTTCAGTATGTGTAGCTTTATTTGGAGTGGGGCAAGGCTTTTTACTGAGGCTTTATTTATTTTTGCCTTTTTTCCATTTTAATATTTAAAAAATAAGTTTTCATTGAACTGGTATAAATCATTGCCTTTTTAAAATCTAAATGCTAATTTTCATGTTTATAATTAATCCAGATTTCTATAAGGTACTGTAAACTCACCTATTTAAATGGAATTAGGATTACAGTTTGGCATTCAAAAAGGCAACATGTAATAGCATCCAAAGACCTCATTCAGAATCAGGGCCCAAAGCTTAAATTGTACATGGTGGAAAACAGGGAGCCAGTAAAAGGTTTAAAGAGGGGGATGACGTGGTGAGAGTGGTGGGCAAAGAAGATGATCTTTAGCAGCTATGATTTGTAAGGACCATTGGGTGGGGGGCAGTGTGGGTTTGGGGGAAGCTAGAGAGTAAAATTTCTTGTAATCAACATGGGAGAGAATGGGACACTGTAGGTTGGAGGTGAAAGGGAAGAGATCGCTGAGGTTAGTGGAGGGATTTGAAGCACGGGTGAGAAGCCTTGTTATAGATAACTAAAGGAGGAGAAACAGGGAGGAAAAAAGGAGTAGCAGGGAAGACCGTGTTGAGGAGAGAGGTTACATTGCCATTCTTCTCTTTGAAAGAGTCTGAAGATCTTGTGCAAAGAGGAAAGAGTGCAGAAGAGGGGAGGACTTTAGTTGGGGTGTCAAAGGTAGGCAAATAGGTGGCTAGGATTGTGGATGAGAAGTTAATGAGAGGGAAGAAATAGTGCTGCTTGAGCTGGAAGATGACAGCTGAAGAAGGAAGGAATAAAGTCAGGAGGATCATGGGATTTTCTCCATGATAGAAGGAGAGCCAAAGGATTAATGAACTACTACTAGTATGTCCAGGACAGAAATGGGTATTTTTGAAATAAAAACTTTCCCAGGAAAATCTTAACAATTTTGTTAAACTGTGTTTATTCCACTCTGTGGAAAAAGTGCTCTTCTAACACTGAAAACCTGAAATATATAACATGTTTATTTCCTACTGTTTTTCTTCTTGGTTTATGTTTTTACTTGTGCAACTGCGCTGTTGATAAATTTACCCAGCAGTTCAGAGTCAGGGTTTCCTTTCCTTAGCCTACAGTATGAAATCTATGGGTACTTTTTCTTCATAATTATGTAAAGTGCTATGTTGTAGTAATCTTGTTAAGATTAACAGCATTAACTGCACATATAATGTATGATTTACAAATACTAACATTTAATTTTTCATTCTTTTTATTCTGTACACCATCTCTCATTCTTTTCTTCCAAAATTATACATTTTATAATAATCATTAATTTGAATGGCATCTTCTTCATTGCCATGCAATCTTCATACCATATATGAAATGGTGCTACCCCTTTGGTTTTTCCTGGTCTGTATGCTACTGTATCTGGACTGGCTCTCACTCCCCTGCAACAGACCCACCCCTCACTCTTCCTCCTATCTCCTTCAACAAACTTACACAGGCTCAAACATGGGACAACTATAGCTACAGTATCCCATCTGAAGGGGACAGTGACAATGGTAGGTGATCTGTACATATTTAATTTGTATGTTTTCAGATAATTTGTATGTTTGGCTACATTCCCCACACAGCTAAAGGTGCAGGACATTCAGCCATATTCTTGTTGTAATGGGTAAAAAAACTTAAGGATTAGAAACCAAAGGCTCAGATGGTACATGTTTATTAGTGTAGAAGAACGTTGAGTACACAGTCTAAGAAGTCTATGAGCAGAAAATGGAGGGAAACCAAATCTGATCATTATGTCACTACTAGGCCAATGAAAAGATATTTAACTGACCAGCATTCTTATCAGCTTTCCCTTCTCCGAAGAAGGGATTCAAACAGAGGTGAAGAGAGAGCTAAAAATATTTTAGTAAATAAAACAGTGTTTTCACTGAGTGAAATCAAGGTAAAAAAGATAGATAGGTAGGTCAGTTGGTCTTCCTTTAGTTTTAGTTTGTTTCCAGACAAAAATCTATGAATTGTTTGAAAACCATAGCTGTTGTGCAAGCGTTTTTCCAGTGACACTTGAGCTGAATAAGAGAATTACATAGATTTTTGTGCTGGACTTGATGCTGTATTTTTCAGATAATGAAAGTTATTGAGAGGTTTTTTTCAGTCAGCAGCACAGTGTGCCAAGAAAACAATATCTCTTCACATTTGCAAGTACCTAAGATCTATGAAATATTCAAGAGCATATATCAGTGTTTCCCAGACTTGGGACACCGCTTGTGCAGGGAAAGCCCCTGGCGGGCCTGGCCGGTTTGTTTACCTGCCACATCCGCAGGTTCGGCCGATCGCAGCTCCCACTGGCCGCGGTTTGCTGTGCCCAGTCAATGGGGGCTGCGGGAAGTGGCGCAGGCCGAGGGATGTACTGGCCACTGCTTCCCGCAGCCCCCATTGGCCGGGCACAGTGAACCGCGGCCAGTGGGAGCCGCCATCGGCCGAACCTTCGGACGCAGCAGGTAAACCGGCCAGGCCCACCAGGGTCTTTCCCTGCACAAGCGGTGTCCCAAGTTTGGGAAACACTGGCATATATGATAAATTTGTCACAATGCATAACAAACAAAGCACTGACCAAAAATGAACAGTTCTTAATTTTTATCTCTTTAACCAAAGAGCAGATCAAATGTGATTTCCTACGAAATTTCCAGATTTCTGACCACCACCCGGACACAAAGAAGATACTCTTCCCTCCACTCCCCCACATGAGAATATTTCCCACATTTCAGTCTGAACCTGGTGCGTGCTGGAACAGGATTTGGGGAATTTAGCAAGTACACAGTGGATCCACTGCAGTGCTGACATCAGTAAAGTTCACAGCTATATATATATAACTGTTGAGTCTGAGTGCTTTTGATTGAAGCAGCTCCCATAGCCTGGGACACAACATGAAAATGGTAATATAACTTTTCTCCTGAGGACATTATAGTACTGCATGTCACATCTGATAATGGATCCACTGCACTCAATATTCTACATAATGGTAGCGTAAAGTATTTTTGATTTTGTCTGCTGTTTGTTTAAATCTAGTATTACATGGCTTCCTTGAAAATGAAAAATTAGAAAAATCATCACTGACATTAAAAAAAAAAAACCAGTCAGAAAGCTTTCACATTCTGAGACATTCAAAAACATGATGGTCATTCAGAACTGTATCTTATACAAGATGTGCCTATATGTTAGAATTCAACATTCTTTTTATGAAAATCTGTCACACCAAAAAAAAAAAAAGTTGAACATGATGTAGCAGGTGTTCTTCTGAATGCTAAACAAGGGACATATATGAATAATTTGTTGTGCATGCTGAGCCCTTTGAAACTGGCTGTAAGAAATTTGTTCTGACCATTCATCCATTAGCCAAGTACTCCCACTTGTCTGGCTTATAAAACTGAAATTTAAGAAGTGAGGCTAAAGAATAAGAATTCTTCTTTTTTTTTCTTTTTCTTTTTTTTTTGAAAGAACACATTTGGTGGCACCATTTATGCACATTATTGAGAAACTATCTTTAAGTGCAGTCTGTAAGCAAATATTCTTTACAGTTAAAATCCTGCACTTCTGGCTTAAATGGAGATGGAGCACTAAAAAGTGATCTGTTAGCTTTTTAAACTAAAGTATTGGCATCTTCAGCACGATGCTAGCATTTTTTTCACTCTCTAAGAGTCGCAAGCTCACTTAGTATGGATCATGAAGATAATGTCAGACAAGGCTTCCTGATCCTTTCCAATATTGGGAAATCTATTCCATCATTACAAGTGCTCATCCATAGTTCACATGGTAGAGTGTGGGAAATGAAAAAAAGAGCTGGCTACCTTGACAGATGTGCAACACTTAAAACACCTGAATTATCTACCAACAGATCTTTCTTTGCATGAGAAGAATGGACAGTTGGTATATTATTGAAGAAAATCAGTCTTGCTGATTCTTAGTAATAAAAGGAATTCTAGTAACAAGCAAAAGCCTACAAAGATTTTTCTCATTGGAAAATAAATTTGCTAACTCTTAACCATTCTTCATAACTGTGATGGGGTGGACTAGGCCCTGAGACCCAGGCCTTGTGGCCCTGCCAAACCCTGGCCCAGAAAAGGGCAGTAGAGAGGTCTTCCAAGCTGCATAGAGCAGCTGTGTGGGAAGCAGCCAATCAGGGCTCAGCTGGTCAGTATAAGAAGAGCTGCAGGGTAAGAGCGAGTTCAGTTCCTTGCTAGAACTGGAGGAGAATGGATGGTGTGTGGCTGGCTGAGGAAGCTGCAGGACCTCGGACGAAGTAGTGCTGCCAGAACCAGGGAGAGCGAAAAGGAGCCCCGAGTTGGTTGCGGGGACTCCCATGAGGACAAGGTCCTGAGGTAAGGGTGAAGATGGTGCAGGGCTGCGGAGAAGTGGTCTGGGGAAGTAGAGCAGCAGTGTGACTTAGATAAAGGGACACAGCAGACAGCTGCGATCTACAGGGTCCCTGGGCTGGGACCCGGAGTAGTGGGCGTACCTGGGTCTCCCCCAGCCCCCATTAGCCACTGGGGGAAGTAGCCTGGACATTGAGGCATCCCAGAGGTGGGAACTGAACTGCAATGGCCCAGCTGGAGAGTTGTGGCCAGAAAGGCCTTAAGACGGCAAAGACTGCATCAGGGAAGGACACTGCTATATTCTGAAGTAGGGACAACTTGTGGGAGACATTACAGAGGGAACTGAGAAAGACCCCTGTTGGACTTGTGCCCTGGAAATGGTTTTGCTTTGCTTTCATCACACAGACAGACTGTGTGTGACTCGGCCGGAGGGCTGAGTCACCAAAGATGCACCAGATAGAGAGTGTAGGCACACACACACTTGGCGGGGGTGCTCACAAGAGGTGAGTGCGACCCTGTTACAATACCTTAGATTCTTGAGGCCTGTTATCATTTTTTGCCATATGTTGCACCCTTCCAGTCATACAGTGACCTGTACAGCCAACAGTTATTCATGGATGATTGCTCTATTTAGCACATAAACTCTAGTTTGTTTCCCTTTTCCCAGACTAATTTGTGTATTTTTTAAAAATGAACAGCATTTGCCATCTGCTAGCCTGATCTCCTAAACTATCCAGATCCTTTCGAATGGACTTGCAGTGGTCATTATGTTCAGTGCCTCCAATGTTCATGTCATTTACAGAATTCTGTGGTTTGAAGTCAAATTCTTAAAACTCTAAGCTGCTGAACAGTATTATTACAATTCTAGTCTCCACATGCTTAATTAAAGTATAGAACATTATACCTCTCCATTTAACACAGTACTTCCTAAGTTAAAAATTACTTATTTAACTCTACTCATCTTTCAGTAAAGTACTAGAGATCATGAAAGATCTATAATTGCTTATAGACTCAGAGGTAGAAATCAGCCTGAAGTTGGCTTTTTTTTTAGCAAGAGAACTTAGTTTCTTCCTGTTAATGATTCTGGAATCAAGTTCTGCACTTGGCTTCATGTGTGTGTCACCCATTGAAATGAATGGGAGCCAAGGATACAAAAGATAGAATTTGCACCTTAAAGCTGAACTAGAATCTTCTTTAAAATTGTCAATTTTTAACATTTTAGTGTATCCAAATATTAACCTTTGTAAAACCTTTCTACAGTAATTTTATTACAATACTTACAACGTATGAAATAATATTATTTACATAGCCTCAGCCCTCTCTCCTTCCCACTAAGATAATTCAATTTTAGAACATCTAAGAGACAATGATCAAACATTAAAAATATTGGAAATTACATAATATAAAACCTGATTAACAAATCATAGCAAATTGCTCCAGTGAAGAACATATACAAAATCTGTGGCTATTGGGGGAAGGGGGGGAATAGACGTCAAAGTTCTTTCATAAAATGGGGGGCAAAATACTATCGTTTTTATTTGGTGCTGTCATCAAAAGGCTATCATTCTGATTTGTGTGTACAAATTACACCAACTTTGCACTTGTTTTCCTCAGGTGAAAAGGACCACAAAGACATAGGACAGTGGAGAATCCAGCCTGCTGACTTCTATATCAAACTTGATAGGCCACATGTTCAGGCATTGTAAATTGGCATAACTCAGTCGAGTTTAGTGGACTACACCAATTGGGGATCCGGCTCTAGATGTGTTTTTTATCCTTGTTGATAGGAATTCATTAGGTAATGTGATCTGTGCTAACCTAGGGCTAACAGTGTAATTATACTGTGTGATACAGCATGGCTAGAAGGCAGCAGGAGAGTGATATAGGAGACATCTGTAAGTCCCAGGATGAGGAGAAGCCTTATTCCCTGTAGAGGGAAGAAAAGTTTCTATAGATTAAAAGCACCTGATGCCAATTAGAGCACCTGAAGCCAGTCACCTGATAAAAACCCCCTGCTTCAATCAGCCAGGGGAAGGAGTTGGAGCAGAGAGCAGTTTGAAGGAGTTGGAGCACAGTGCAGTTTGGAGGAGTTGAAGTAGAGGAGAGTTTGGAGAAGTGCTGTGGCTGGCTAGAAGACCAAGACTCTAGGTAAAGAGACACCCGGCTTGTGCAGAGAGAGGGCA